ATTATATTATTATTTTTTATGATTATTTATTAAATTATAATTTATGATTTTGTGTTTCAAATTTTAACATACCCGGGATGTTTACTAGACTCTTGTTAGGACAGATTTCAGTGAGTTATTCCTAAAAATTAAAGGCCTACAATAAAAAAAATACATATTTCCATGCAAAAAAATGTACCGCTTTGAGCACAGAAATATGAACATAATCAGACCACTAGGGAGGTTAATTTTATGTGATTGAGATTTATTTTTATGTGATTGAGATATTTATTCATTTACCTTTTTAATGCATTTATTTATTTTTGGTTTTATCTTGTTCACCTGGCGTATACAGACGTAATGTCCTTCCCGCCGGTCCGTCCCCTTGGCGCATGAGCGGTTTGCTAATATGGCGTCCATCCATGCGCGTGAGACTATTTAAGTTCAGATGTCGGTATGGCGGGCTCATCCATTTGATAACGTGCTCGGGCATAAAAAACGCGTCAGCAGGAGCCTGCCATAGTGACGTCACACTGCAAACGGCCGCATGGAAGGCCGGTGGCCATTTTAAATATCATTTATACATGTGAGTGCTCATATATTATTTGTTATTACTGAACCTTCCGGATTATTAAAATACTACACTATTAGTGCCTCATATGTCTCTGGCTTTGGTTTATACGAGCCAAAGGCGGCAATATCACTATTTCTTTATTAAATTGATCCGGTGGTCTGACGCTTACTTGGAGCTGTCCCTGGGAGCTGAGAGTGTCCTGTGAGTGATTGGAGTTGCCCTGTGTGCCTATGGTGTGCCAATGGATTCCGCCATCCTCGCCTACACCTAAATGACCATACTTTGGATAATATATATACATGCGCATATCTTTTGCACTTCTGGTGAGTGCATTCACATTACTGGTCCACGTCACAGAGATCACCAGCACGGAGCATGGATCACCTTTATATTTGGACTTTTGCATTTTGTGTATTTTAAAACGCACTTCAGTCACTTTATACCAGTTACTAGTTGTATGTGTCATTTCATGACGGCTCACTATCTACATTTTAACACTTTTTAGCGCTCTACAGTGCCCACATTATTAATATCAGTATTATTATTATTATTGATTCTTATCATTGTATTACTGCCATTTTTAGTGCTGCATATATATTTATTGGACTGCCGATAGCCAGTAAGTGTATTTACAGGGTGGTCAGCTGTGATTGGACACAGCTGATCATGTGGTAAAAGGCCACAGATACCGCTGGCACACTGCGGGGGGTGCATTCTGGGAGGATGTTATATCTCTGGGTGCGTCTTCTGGTGGTGATCTTTGGCCATCTTGAGTGGCTGCTGCAGGATGATGTATGTAGCTCCGGCACATGTGAGAAGGTGTTGATACTATTTCCTGTGTGGCTACTAGGTGGTGCCCTCCTCATAGATAAATAGTGGGTTATGTTAGAGAGTCGCGGAGAAGTTCAGGCAGAGAATCTAAGAGGACAAGAGCTGAAGCTGGCCTCCAAGGGACTTGGTGGGGCCTATTCTACAGAGATGTAGTGTTTCCAGCGATTCGTATTCCTTGGTTGGGAATACCTGAAGAGGTCCTAGTGCCCTATATTGGAGGGAATTAGGGACAGGACATAGATTACCCAACCTGCAAAAACGACAGCTACTATAACTGGTGAGAAGCTGTATGCCCTGAAGTTGTGTGCCCTAAGGTTGTCTACCTTGAAATTAGGAAATAAAGCTTTAAACAGCCTATTGGGCTTGCTCCCCTTCTTGCTACCAATGGCCAATCTTTGGAACTGGCCCCTTGCTCAGCCAGGAAGGTTGCAGGGTGAAGTGTCCAGCATGGAAATGTACATGTGCTTTGTGTTTTCTGCATTAAAGCTACTTACCTGCCTGTCTGCACCTGTACAGTGAGCCACGCAGGCGCAGCTTACTGTACAAAAATGGCAAATGCCGATCTGACTACACACCCGCACATGTGCCGTAGTGATGTCATCCCCACCTGGCCAATTACAGCGGCCGGTGATCGAGACCTGGAAGCTGCCCACTCGAAGACGTCAGTGGCCAGGCGGAGAGCAGAGGGACTCCATATTGATGGAACTGAGGGGCGTATAGTTCATTTTTTACAATTTCAAAAATCAGTTACCTTCCTGGCATGGCATGATTGCTAACGGTCATATTTTGCTTGTGTCCTGAACCAAACTGTCAAAGCATCAAATGGCTGGTGTCATTGATCACATGTGCAGCATCATGACAGTTGAAGATCAAACAGAGGCTAAGATGGCAGCTTCCTTGGAAAATGATGGGTGGATTTAGTTTTTCTATAAAGCAGAATTACACCATCCTATTCTTTTCAGCCAGGAAAGCTGCTGTCTTATGCAGGCCACAGACGGTTCGTTTATTGTCCGAAAGAATAATCGGACAATATTTGCACCGTTTGTGGGGCAATGTCATCGGCTGATTTTCGCAGTTCCTCCTCATTTCTTTTATTGGTCTTGCTGGAAAATTTACGAAAAACTGACAATTTTTGTAATCATTGGTGGCAACAGAACGACCGATTTTTCATTTTTCAGCCGATAAACAAACCGTCTATGGCCTGCCTTAGCCTCTGTTTGACCCACAACTGCCATGGTGCTGCATATGCGATCAGTTATGACTCCAACCATTTAATGGTTTGACATTTCAGTTGAGAACACAAGTGAATGTGACAGCTTTCCTGGCACATGTTGGGAATGGAACTGTTTTTTGAAACCATTACATAGATGGGTTTAATTAGAAATGCTTCTACTTTAACCCTTTCCGAAGTTAAAAAGTGACAGTTACCCCTCAATCTTGACCTATGAAATGTAACTGCAGTGACCTAAAATGTAACTAAAATGTTCAATAACTGTGCATCACCCACCAACAGACACCTTTTATATCTATTGATAATAAGTGTTCTTCTTCAGTTAGATTTTGGTACAACTATGCACCATTTAAAAGGACATATAGAATACAATAGGCGGGATGACATGATACACTAACATCTAAGGCTCCACGTACACAGGACACTTCCGAACGATGGAAAACTGACTGCTGGAAAATATAGGTTAAAAAAGTCTGTTTAGCCGCATTTGCATACCGCGTTTATGCGCGTTTATGAGCGTTTGCGTTTAGAAGCGTTTTTTTTTTAAAGATAACCTCAGGAGACCTTCCAAAATGCCCAGAAAGCACTGAAAAACAGTAAAAAAATTAGCTATTTCAGACATTTTGAGAGAAATAGAGAGAGCAGAAGCAGAGAGAGCAGTATTTGTTGAGATTAGCTGTCTTATTTTTTTTTTGTGGTGTTTGGATGTGTTCCAGCTCATTTCTGTGCAGAAATTATTACAGCAGTGTCTAACATCTTTTCTTTCATGCGAAACCTCAAAGTATGGTGTTCCAGGTCCATTTGAGTACCAGGAAAATGCTTTGCATGTATTTTTTATGATGAAAAAAGGTTCTGGACAGCATCTGGAAATGGAAGAGTTACAAAACATTTTCCAAATGAAAACTCTTACAAACAAGGTTAACCGCATTTACAAGCATTTGGCGTTTGAAATGCTGATAAAATCTACTCCTGATTGCAAGTTTGGTGCGTTCAAAAAAACGACTGTAAACTCAACTGCCTGTAAAGGACTGTGTACATGGACACATAGGAAAACATTAGGGAGAGTTCAGGGGCTGCTGAAAAAAAAAACGCAGAAAAGCTCCTAAATGTGAGTTTGTCAGCTGCAGTGTACATGAGCCTAAAGTAAATGGCTCCAACCTCGACTTAAAGGATAAAGCCCCTTTCACACAAGCAGACTGATGGGGTCTGCCTGTCTATTTTTCAGACGGACTCGATCTGTCCATCCATAGACTTCTATGGACCGACGGGTGTCAGCGAACAATAGTCTGCTGATCCTCCCCATCTGAAAGAGGCCTTAGTTCACCTTTCGTAACATGATACATGTTATACTCATATTCAGGGTGTAACATGTAACATGTTACAATCAGACCGGCCCTCATATCCCCACGATCCCTGTTGTGACAGCAAGCAAGGGATCTTCTTCTCCCCTCTAGCTGTCACCATTTATAAAAGAGTGCCTGAGGGGGGCTCCGCCAAACTAACCGCATCACTCATTCACAGTATTCTGTAATTGGGAAAACTACAAGTCCCAGCAGCCTTTGTGGCTCTCAGCTTATAGTTTTCAATGAACTACCATGGTGCTCCACAACACTGTGGTAGTTCAATGAGCCTTCCTATCAGTAACTGCTTGCCGGTATGCAAGCAGATATACTGACAAGTCAGGGGGCAGACCTGCATGGCACCAATGATCTGCTGATTGCTGGAGCAATGCTTTAGAGCAGGGGTCTCCAAACTGCAGCCCAGGGGCCACATGTGGCCCTTTGCTTGCCGTCATCAGACCCTAGAGGCACTATTCCTTTCACTGGCACTAACAATGGGGCACTTCCCCCCCCCCCCCCACTGACGCCAATGATAGGGCACTGTTTAACCCCACTAATGCCAGGATATTTTCTACTCCCACTGGCCACACTCTGGCCCGCCCCCCTAACATCTGAAGAACAGTAAACTGGCCCTTTGTTTAGAAAGTTTGGAGACCCCCGCTTTAGAGGCTTCACAAACAAAAAATAAATCAATGCATATCGTTCTACCTGCAAAAAAAAAAAGGGCATGTGTTATTTTTTGTTCAAAGGTAGACTTGTCCTTTAAGAGAGATGCCAGCTGACTACCAATGAACACACGTCTGACTCCAGCCATCATTCTAGCCGGACGCCCGGGTTGCCATATGACGTCAATGTCCATTCATAATTTTTTCTTTGTGGGCGTGACCCTCTCCTTTCCAGTGACCGCGCTGCATATGGGCATGGCGACGGGCGTGGTTACGTGACGTGCCCGCAGCAGGGGAAAGGGTGGGAGGAGACTTCTGCAACACCGGAAACAGGAACTGAGCCGTAGCACGGGGAAGCCATCTTACTGTCTCCCGGGAAGATGACCGGGAAGTCGGTTCGGGACGTGGAGCGGTACCAAGCCGTGCTGACCGATCTGCTGCTGCGGGAAGAGAACAAGTTCTGTGCGGACTGCCAAGCGAAAGGTAATGGTGGAGTGTAAGGCAGCTGTTAGTCCGGTTCCGGCATATAGGGTGCTCCCTTCTTCCCTTCCCTGAGCTCCACAGCCTCTACCTTCCCTCACAAGTTATACCAGTGTGCTCCCACAGCTCTGTGTTCAGGGGGCGGGGATGGAGGGCAGCCCAGGGACCTTCCTGTGTCCTTACAGCAGGGCTGTGTGCACATCCTGTGCCTGGGCTCCCTATAGGGAGGGATGAGCACACCTGAACTGCCAGACTGGTCACATGACTGCTGTCATCTGCTCCTCACTGTGTCATCACACCATTTACATGTCAGCTGTGACCTCACACCTGATCTCTTTCCTCCTTTGGTGTACACCTCACCCTCTGTCCCAGAACATGGGAGAGGTGTTCAGATCCCCCTGTGATGACACATTTCCATCTCCTATGATTGTCTTCCTGAATGTGCTGCTAGTTGGTCTCATGTATAAAACGTGAGGAAAGTAGTAACAACCAGATTGGAGTTAATTCAGAACTAGGGCTGCACCTACGGCAGCCCTTGTCACCCCTCTGAAAAGTTATCTACAGGGGATAGCTTTATGGGCAGCACAGCAGCTAAATGGTTATCACTTCCGCCTGGCAGTACTAGGGTTGTTGGTTCGAATACCAGCCACAGCACCACCTGCTTGGAGTTTGCATGTTCTCCCTGTGCCTGCGTGGGTTTCCTCCGTGTACTCTGGTTTCCTCCCACACTCCAAAGACATGCTGGTAGGTTAATTGGCTCCTGTCTAAATTGGCCCTAATATGTGTATGTATGAATGTGAGTTAGAGACCTTAGATTGTACACCCCTTGAGGGTTAGGGACTGATGTGTGAATGTACTATATATATATATATATATATATATATATATATGTGTGTGTGTGTGTTTAAAGCACTGCGTAAATTGACGGTGCTATATAAGTACCAGAAATAATAATAGCTTTTCAGAGAATGGCTAGGAGGCAATAGGCTGCCTATTTTAAAGTGATGTTAAAAAAAATATATATCAAACCTGTTATACTTACCTGTTCTGTGGAATGATTTTGCACAGAGCAGTCCCGATCCTCCCTTCTTGGGTTCCCGGCCAGCGCTCCTGGCTCCTCATCCTCTTCAAGTGCCACCATAGCAAGCCGCTTTCTCTGGGGGCACTTGTGCAAGCTCCGTCATGAGCCCCGCTCTGAGTGTTCATAAGACAAACAGAATAGGCCCCCAGCTCCCTCCTCACTGGCTGTGATTGACATCTGCGGGAACCGATGGCTCCCGCTGCTGTCTCTTAGTTAATGAGGGGAGAGAGACCTGGGAGAGCAAGCATTCTTGTACACATTGCTGGGTCAGGCAGGTATGAGGGGCTTCAGGGGAAGCTGCATAAAAAGTCTTTTACAAACCTTCAGCCTTTAGAACCACCTTAATCCTTGAAAGCCCACACTACAGCACCACAACCATCTAAATAGGTGGCATTTGGCCTCAGTACTGTCCATCAAATTTGTATATAATTTTTGTCATGGCTAGTGGTGGTTGACTTTGCTGTTGAAAGGAGTAGCAGCATGTTACTATGCAGAACACACCCTTCTCCCCCTTGACACCCCCCCCCCCTTTCCCATTGGCAGCAGATGCAGGTTCTTTTTTTCCTACAGCCACTGTACACTGCTGCTCCTAAACATGAGTTTAGGAGCTTTTGGTGTTTTTTTTTTGCCAAAGCCCTTGAACTCAACTCAATAAAAACCTATGTGTCCATGGGCTTTTACCAGAGTTTAGGAGCAACAGAGTTTAGGGGCAATTAAATGTTCTTCTTCTGAAAGCAGAATAATCGTGTTCAGGAGAAGAACAATTTAGCCAAAAAAACCGTAAACATGGCAAAAAACACGTGTAAACAGCAGATAAATGCTAAACGTGGCTAAATACAGTACCGCGTTTGTGCCGTGGTTAGCATTTTTCTGCTGCCAGGAGAGTTTAACGACTAGGTGAGGTCATATGTACATGTCCACGCCGCGAAACAAACCTACTTCGTAACCCTCATCAACACCCTCTCCTTTAATCCTTGTCTGCTCTTCTCCACCTTCAACTCCCTACTCTCTCCCCCCACCCAGTACCTCACTCACTGCCCATGAGATTGCCATTCACTTTCAAAATAAGATCGACGCAATCCGTAAGAACATTGCCAATGCTCCACCTACCTCCCCACATAGCCTCCCTCCCACTACAACCCCCTCCAACTTTCCTCTCCTCTGACCTCGCAACCGCCCTGCCCCCCACCACCCTTAACATCCCGCACACCATAACCCCCCAACACTCCGCTCCTTCAGCCTTGCCACCACTAAGGAGGTCACCAAGGTCTTCTCAGAAGCCCGCCTCACCACTTGCCCCCTTGACCCTGTCACCACACAACTCCTCCGGGCACCCTCCCCCTCCATCCTACGCTCCCTCGCCCACATCTTCAATCTCTCCCTCTCTACTGGCGCATTCCCCTCCCCCCTAAAGCACGCGCACATCACCCCCATACTTAAAACACCCTCCTTGGACCCCACTGACCTGAACAACCTTAGACCCATCTCCCTGCCTGCTGCCATTCACTTCCAAGCTCCTTGAGCGCTTAATCTACAATCGCCTAAGCTCCCACCTCACTGACAACAACCTCCTCGATCCACTACAGTCTGGCTTCCGTCCCCTACACTCCATCAAAACCGTCTTACTCAAAATCACTAATGACCTTCTAACCGCCAAAGCTAATGGCCACTACTCAGTCCTCTTACTCCTCGACCTCTCTACGGCCTTCGACACATGTTGACCACCCCCTCCTCGATCAACTACACTCCCTCAGCATCAGAGACTCCGCTCTCTCCTGGCTCTCCTCCTATCTCTCCCAACGCTCCTTCAGCGTTACCTATAACGCTAGCACCTCCCCCTCTCTGTTGGGGGTCCCCCCCAAGGCTCTGTCCTCGGGCCCTTTCTTTTCTCCATCTACACCTCCTCCCTTGGCAAACTGATACACTCCCACGGCTTCAACTATCACCTCTACGCCGATGGCATGCAAATTTACCTCTCCACCCCTCAACTCGCCCCTTTGCCCGTATCACCCACCTACTGAATGACATATCAGACTGGATGTCTCTCCACTTCCTCAAACTGAACCTTTCAAAAACCGAGCTCCTAATTTTCCCCCCAGCCCGCGCCCCCCCACCCTCTCCATCACGACCAACAACGCCACCATCAGTCCCACCCCGCAAGCCAAAGTCCTAGGTGTCACTCTAGATTCAAACCTGTCCTTCCAACCCCATGTCCATTCGCTAGCAAGCTCATGCAGGCTCCACCTTCATAACATCTCCAAAATACATACATTCCTAACCCCAGACACTACTAAACAACTCGTTCACTCCCTCATTATCTCACGCCTGGACTACTGCAACTCCCTGCTCACCGGCCTACCTCATAACAGACTATCCCCGCTTCAGTCAATCCTGAACTCAGGTGTTATGGAAGACCAGGATGCTTCAATAGCGGCCTTCAGCTCTTCTGCATTGTTCGGTCTCATGTCTCTCATCTTTTATTGGCAATGCCCCATAGATTCTCTATGGGGTTCAGGTCAGGCGAGTTTGCTGGCCAATCAAGCACAGTAATCCCACGGTCATTGAACCAGGTTTTGGTGCTTTTGGCAGTGTGGGCAGGTGCCACGTCCTGCTGGAAAATGAAGTCCGCATCCCCATAAAGCTCGTCTGCGGAAGGAAGCATGAAGTGCTCTACAATCTCCTGGTAGACGGCTGCGTTGACCTTGGATTTAATGAAGCACAGTGGGCCAACACCAGCAGATGACATGGCTAACTAAATCAACACAGACTGTGGAAACTTCACACTGGACTTCAAGCATCTTACAGTGTGTGCCTCTCCATTCTTCCTCCATACTCTGGGTCCTTGGTTTCCAAATGAGATGCAAAAGTTGCTCTCATCAGAAAAGAGGACTTTGGACCACTGTGCAACAGACCAGGTCTGTTTTTCTTTATTGCAATAAATAATTTGCGCTAGTAAATATATATATATATATATATATATATATATATATATATATATATATATATATATATATATAATAAAAAAAGTTCAAATAATAAGTCCAAACTTAAAATGCCAATACCCCAAAAAAATGTGCAAAAAAAGTGTCTGAATGTGACAAAACACCACCAAAAAACCTTAGTAATATGATGGCAAGTCATCCATAGGTATATCTTCAGGAAACTAAATTCTGCAGAACACCGATCCACATAGACCAAATATCAAAATGAAAGAAACTTTTCAATTTATCCCGGAAATCCACTTCTCCAAAAGAAAAAACCACCTTCAATCGTATCCTATGGATGACTTGCCATCATATTGCTAAGGTTTTTTGGTGGTGTTTTGTCACATTCAGACACTTTTTTTGCACAATTTTTTTGAACATTTTTTTGGGGTATTGGCATTTTAAGTTTGGACTTATTATTTGAACTTTTTTTTATTATTCATATATATATATATATATATATATATATATATATATATATATATATATATATATATATATATATATATATATATATATATATATATATATTTTACTAGCGCAAATTATTTATTGCATTAATTGTTACACTTTATTTATGGTGATTTTTTTGCAGCTGGTACACTATAAGTGAGTTATATATTTTTTCATTTGCCATAGGCGCTATTATATATTTTCTTTATCTGTTTTTCTTTAGCCCAGGTAAGACGCTTCTGACGTTTTTTATTGTTCAGGAGCAGCTTGACAAGAGGAATACGACATTTCAAACCCATGTCCAGAATCCGTCTGTGTGTGGTGGCTCTTGATGCGCTGACTCCAGCCTCAGTCCACTCCTTGTGAAAGTCCCCAACACTTTTAAATGGCCTTTTTCCTGACAATCCTCTCCAGGCTGCGGTCATCCCTGCTGCTTCTGCACCTTTTTCTTCCACATAACTTTCTATTAATGTGCTTTGGTACAGCACTATGGGAACATCCAACTTCTTTTGCAATTACCTTTTGAGGCTTTCCCTCCTTATGGAGGGTGTCAATGATGGTTTTCTGCACAACTGTCAGGTCAGCAGTCTTTCAGTCTGGTTCAGTAGGAATCACAATCATGGGAGAGACCATTTAAAGGCTCAGGAACCCTTTGCAGGTGTTATGGCTTAATTAGCTGATTAGAGTGGGACACTTTGAGCCTAGAATATTGCACCTTTTCACAATATTCTAATTTTCTGAGATTGTGGATTTGGGGTTTTCATGAGCTGTAAGCCATAATCATCACAATTATGACAAATCACGGCTTGAACTATCTTGCTTTGCATGTAATGAGTCTATCTCATATATTATTTTCACCTTTTTAAGTTGCATTACTGAAATAAATGAACTTCTGCACAATATTATAATTTTTTGAGTTTCACCTGTATGTAGAAAGAGGCTGCAGGAGCCTGCCATTGCACCTACGATCCACTGATTGCATGTCCAGTACTTTGTAGGCCCCTGAGAAAATTCAAATTTTTTTTAACTGCAAAACTATCCATTTAATTTTTTTTTTTTTAAAGGTGAACTTTGAAAGGATAAGTTCACTTTTAACAAAAATAAATAAATGCACTTTTGTGTTTTTTCAGGTTAAAAAAATGTGCAGTTATATTTTTTTCTTAGGAGCCTGCAGAGCATTCCACCCACGATCAGCAGATCACGGGTGCAACACCAGGCTTCTGCAGACCCTCAGTACGGTTGTCTGCCCATACTTCCCATAAAGTGAATGTTAGTAAATAAGATGACTCTGTGTGTACTATTATGTAGAAAATTGTACACAATTGCTTTGTCGACTATCGTGCCACATTGTTTTTCACTTCAAGAGGTGAAGAGCCATTTAGCACTACCTGATCCTTTCTTGCAATGTCAAGAGTTTACATGTCAGTTTGTATATGGCATAGGCAGTAAACCTAAAGTGTGTAAAATAATGCTACCACTTTAGACACATATAGATCTGTATGCTTGAAATATGTAATTGCTTGATCTGCTTACAAAGGAAAGGAAATATTTTTATCCACATACACAGCCAGCGCTAAAGTTCAAGTATTTTCTAAAACAATACAATGTTGCAAATTTCATAATCTTTCTATATAAATGTGTTTTATTCACCACACAGAAAGTATCCTCTGAAACGGTCCCAATGCCGTTAGGCCCCTTCACACCAGAAATTGTGCGTTGACATGCGTTTGCAAATTTTAATGCACATTTGCTTGTGGTGCATTTTTCTTTTGCGTTTGCTTGCACTTCCCCTGAGGTCACACCCTGCTTTTTTTTTTTTTAAGACTTTTATGTGTGCTGTGGTGCAAAAATACAGATTGCTTACCTTTTTCTTTTCCACTGCACTGTAATGGTGTGAACTGTACCCATAGGATAACCCCTGGAGAAGTCCTGGCTCGCAGTCTCCACTCTAATTCATCCCAAAGGTGTTCTATCGGGTTGAGGTCAGGACTCTGTGCAGGCCAGTCAAGTTCTTCCACTCCAAACTCGTTCATCCACTCCAAACTCGTTCATCCATGTCTTTATGGACCTTGCTTTGTACACTGGTGTGCAGTCATGTTGGACCATCCCCAAACTGTTCCCACAAAGCTGGGAGCATGAAATTGTCCAAAATGTCTTGGTATGCTGAAGCCTTAGTAGTTCCCTTCACTGGAACTAAGGTGCCAAGCCTAACCCCTGAAAAACAAACCCACACCATAATCCCCCCTCCACCAAAATTTACACTTTGCACAATGCAGTCAGGCAAGTACTGTTCTCCTGGCAACCGCCAAACCCAGACATGTTTATTGGATTGTGAAGGAGAACAACAAAAGAGAAGCGCACCAACCTTGCGCATTACCTCAGTAACCAAAAATTTATTGAATAAAAGAATGGTACTCACAAACAGCGAATAAAAACAAGCATGTAAGTCCTCAAGGGGACTTTAAAGGCAAGATGCCAATGCGAATCCCGTCATGGAGGAAGCCACTCAGTACAGCTGACGCGTTTCGAAGGACGTGCCTTCTTCCTCAGAGCTAAGGCACGTCCTTCGAAACGCGTCAGCTGTACTGAGTGGCTTCCTCCATGACGGGATTCGCATTGGCATCTTGCCTTTAAAGTCCCCTTGAGGACTTACATGCTTGTTTTTATTCGCTGTTTGTGAGTACCATTCTTTTATTCAATAAATTTTTGGTTACTGAGGTAATGCGCAAGGTTGGTGCGCTTCTCTTTTGTTGTTCTCCTTCACAGTTTTGATTGGGCTTCCCCAGCCTTGATGTGGAGCTGCACGACCTTGTCTATTCCGGTGGTCCCTTCCTTTTTGGAGTTTGATTCCATCTACTTACCACCGGCCTGGGTCCCGGAGCACAGGAGATATTGCATTTGGTTCACTATGTTTATTGGATTGCCAGACAGAGGGGTGTGATTGGTCACTCCAGAGAACACTGCTGTAGAGCCCAGTGGCGGCGTGCTTTACACCACTGCATATGATGCTTTGCATTGCACTTGGTGCTGTAAGGCTTGGATGCAGCTGCTTGGCCATGGAAACCCATTCTATGAAGCTCTCTACGCACTGTTGTGCTAATCTGAAGGCCACACGAAGTTTGGAGGTCTTTAGCTATTCTTTAGACAGTTGGCAACTTCTGCGCACTGTGCACTTCATGCGCTGACCCCGTTCTGTCATTTTTTGTGGCTGAATTTCTGCTGTTCCCAGTTGCTTCCACTTTGTTATAAAACCACTAACAGTTGGCTGTGTAATATTTAGTAACAAGGAAATGTCACGGATGGACTTATTGCACAGGTGACAACCTATTACAGTATCATGCTTGAATTCATTGAGCTCCTGAGAGCAACCCATTCTTTCACAAATGTTTGTAGAAGCAGTCTGCATGCCTACGTGCTTGATTTTATACACCTGTGGCCACAGAGGTGATTGGAACACCTGAATCCAATGATTTGGAGGGGTGTCCCAATGCTTTTGGCAATATAGTGTATATAAGTATTTTAATAGTTTATTTTTTATCAATGTACAAAATGGAAAGGGAGCAAACAGAAGAAAATCTAAATCAAATCAAAATTTGGTATGACTACCTTTTGGCTTCAAACCAACATCAATTATTCTAGGTACACACAGTGCTTTTGCTCACAGTTTTTGAAGGAATTCGGCAGGTAGGTTGTTCCAAACATCTTACCATACGTCTGATGTAGAAACCAGGCTAAGTGACTCAACTATACACAGAAACATAGGAACTGGGGTGCAGAAAAATGGCAGCAGGTTTTCTGGACTGATATGTCAAATTGTGAAATATTTGGCTCTAGCAGGAGGCAGTTTGTTCACAAAAGGGCTGGAGAGGTGTACAATAATGAATGTCTGCAGGCAACAATAAAGCATGGTGGAGGTTCTTTGCAAGTTTCAGACTGCATTTCTGCAAATGGAGCTGGAGATTCGGTCAGGATCAATGGTGTTGTCATTGTTGAGAAATACAGGCAGACACTTAACCATTGATTTGGAGGGGTGTCCCAATACTTTTGGCAATATAATGTATCTATACCCCCATTTGCTGCCTTTGCAGCTTAAGGAGGAGCATTTGGGAGGGGGTGGCAGTAAAAATGCAGCTCAGCTGTATACCTTTACTGCCCCCCAGCAGCAAAGTGCAAACAAGGCCATAACTAGGTAAATTATCCACAGCACTACAACACAACTATGGAGGTGGTGCTGGAATTATCGTAACTAGATCTTTTAAGAAATCTGTATTCCTATCTGGATGGGGTTTTTTTTCCTATGAGAAATTTGGAAATATTGGTGAAAATGTGCATCTGACCCTTATAATTTGAGGTCCATCCCATCTCTGGGAGTGGGCCTTTCTGATAGCAGTGGGGGAAGATACAGTTGAAGCACATTTTATCTGGAGTCCAGAACACATGCAATGCTCTGAATAATTTACATGGTTAAAGGTGGTGATCCCTTTGCAAGGACATTTTTTTTGTGCCGTGAAACAGTTACACTGAAATATTGTGGCATTTGCAACCTTGTATTTATTCTTTTTTTAGAACATATGTAAAACTGAACTCTGGGCAATTTTTTTTCCATGCAGCGGGGCTGTGCCAGTATTGCACGGGTCAACTGCTCTTTTTGTCTAGGGGAGAGCAGACAGCTTATACTCTCTTGATCCTTTGATCCTTCTGAAAACCGCGCTCCGCCAAGGTCCAACAGTGGACTGTTCTTGGTCTATGGAGTCTGTGCTGTATGTGATGATGTCAGGAACAGTCCACTATTCAAGACTGCTGGAGCTCGGGGTGCAGGACCTATGCTGAGAGGATCAGAGGATTAGGCAAGTATCTCTTCTTTCCTCTCCCCTATAAAACACAACAGTTAACCCGTGCAATGCAGACACAGCCCCATTGCATGGGAAGAAAATTAATTGCCTTAAGTTCAGCTTTAAAGCTGTATTAAACCCAAAAGCAAACGTTTATTATTTTGCAGATTACCAGTTCTTAGGTGTGATGGCTGGATTAGCTTTCTTTTTTTTTTTTTTTTTTGCTTTTTCCTATATTTTATACATAGTGATCTGGCTAGTAAGTCTCTGTTTTTCAAAAGAACAAGCTCTTCTGCAGATGTAGCAGTTGGAGTGATGAGACAAACCATTTACCACTGGCATGTGTGCTTACAATGATCCACATTTTATTTACAACCTTTTTCCCAAAAGGACAATAAAATACCTAACTACTTATAAAGTGTGATCTGGAATTTGGCTTCAATTTGTTGGTGGATCTAAAGCTGCTAGTACATCTAACAGTCCCTTCCCCCCCAGATTAACAATGCTGCAGTCCAAAGGTGCCCCTATGCTCCTTCATTTTCACATTTATTAAGGTTTCTAAAAATTGATTTGTTGGCTAGCACCATTGTAAGGGATATTGTACCATTTTCAAATGTGTTTAGAGGTCTGCCATTGAAAGGCTTGCTTAAAGCAGAAGTTTACCCATAACAACTTGATAAAAAATGTTCTTTAGCAAGAAATCTACATTCTGCATAAATAATTATACTACCAAAATTAGTGTGTGCTGTAAATTGCCTCCAGCTTCTTGTCAGAGGCTTCCATTTTGCAGAAGCTCAGAGCCCATGAACAGCAGTAAATATTTAGACTGTTAGCAGATCTGCCTCTACAGTTTTGGCACTGTGCTGATAGAGAGTAACTGAGCATGTGCAGAGCAGAGCATGGCGGCGTATTACTGGATTTCAAGCGCTTGCCGCCCGCTCACAGTTATGAACTTCATGGAGGCGGCAGCTGCAGCAGGGGCGACGTACTGGTACGTTGCAACTCTTCTTCCGGTTTGAGGCACTTGTGCCCCCTGCCGCGACCCCTTGTGATTGGACACAGCACATGTTTAGCAGCTGATTTCAGCCAATGATCAGAAGGTGATGGGAAACGAGAGTTGTCCTCCCTCCTCGTAGTCTTCTGGGACACGGGATCATTTAGAAAGCACAGCACTACATGCGCAGTAGGCACACGGCTGTGAAGCCGCAAGCTGTCACAGCCGGGTGCCCACACTGAATATGCTGGTGCCAGGAACACCCTACGGCTGGTGAAGTGAGCTGCAGGCAAGGACCTCGTGGGATCAAGGGACAGGTGAGTGGCTGTTTTTTAAAAGTCAGCAGCTACAGTTTTTATAGCTGCTGACTTTTATTTTTTTTACAGTGTGACTGGAACTCCGCTTTAAGTATAGGAACCAGACATCTCAGCAATTTCAGCCAGGGCATATTAATTATGTAAACTCTGTGACATCAAACTTTGAGGATAACATCCATGTGGCATGTTAAGACAGTCGTCAGCATCTGTTGAAAGAGCCTTAAAGTGTTACTAAACCCAGGACCCTGCATTCACTATATCTCGTCACCCACAGCACACAGAACATGTGCAAGTGAAAATATTTTAGTAAATATCATTTTTTACTGTTGTGGGTTTAGTAACACTAAGCACCATCACAAAAGCTGAAGGTCATGTGTTCCACTGGTTCGAGATATAAGAATTTTTCTTAATTTACAGTTTATTGAAGATGAAAGGTAACCAGTTTAAAAATAGTTTTGTGATTAGACTCTGACTTATGCTGGCCATACATTATACAATTTTCTTCAGATTTTTGCTTTAGATTTACCAAAAACCATATAATAGGAGGTCAAACCTAACAACACTTTCAATTGTATCCAATTAGGCAGGCTCTTGCACTACATAGTTGAAGGTAAATCTAAAGGCAATTGGACAGAAAATGGACAGAAAATTGGATATTGTATGGCCAGCCTTAGGCAGCCTTTCTTTGAATTGTATACTGCATATTTATTCAAGGGCAGTCAAGCTCAACGTAGGGGAACTTGTAGACAGCGTCAATCGGGCAGTTTTTCTTCTGTGGATCTATGTACAGATAAGGCCTTAGTTAATCAATCCATTTTTATTTGTTCCATGTGGTACTAAAGTTGTCTGATAAAATATTTCCCTGTGGTTTAATACCCAATTCCAACCAAAACATTGTTTGTTTTTTTGTTTTGGATAAATTTGGGAATAGCAAGCATGAGAATAATGGAAATTTGTTTACTGGCTGTTGCCCATTGTGGGGATTTCAGTAGGATAGACATATAATCTGGCTGAGGCTCAAACCCTTTGTGTTTTTATTCTTTTTTTTTTTTTTTAGTAAAAAGAACAGGTGTATTGGCACATACGAATAGCTACTAGGAGAATATCAAAATATGTACAAAAATTTTGGAAGTTGGGTGAAAAAGTGGCATCAAAAATGACTTTTCAGTAAAATGTACAAATTTTTATAAATATGCTTTTAGTAAGTTGCATTACATTCTAGCCAGATTCCAGTTGTGAGAGATTCACTGTCCTATTCTTCATCTAATACAAAGCAGAGAGGTGATGTCCTTTTTCACTGGTAAATTTCTCTATAGTAAATGGAGTGGGGGGCTTCAGTGTGATGAAGTAATATTGCTAAGAATCTTTCTGAAAACAAGTTAATGGGGAGACGGGGGAAATCTTGCCACAAGGATAGCCATGGACAGGTCAAGTGTCGGTTGGTTCAGCAGGAACCGGACGAGATTGAAGCCACATATGGGCAGGCTGATTGATCGATCAATTTGGCTACAACCAGCCTGACGTATTTTACATGTGCTAGTGTAGCCACTAGCAATAATCCACAGTTTTCTCTCTGCGGGGATGTCTTCTCTGTCCAAATTGGGGAATTTAGAGCAGTGGACAAATTAAGGGCAGGGATGCCTGGAGGGAGCCCACTGTAGTAATTGACTTGATGTAAAAACCCAGAGTTCATATATTTTAAAGAAACTCTCACCCTAGAGGTAAAGTCTGAGCTGGCATATTGATCAACAGGATGATCTATTTGCTAGTTGAGTTGGTATATTTCACAATTGACTATCGGATTAGTACAGTAGGTGCAAAATGACTGAAACCTATCTCAGTAGCTGACTCTCGCAAAGTATCTTGAAACCAATTTGCCGTGTTATTTCTAAGCAATACTGTGAGTTATTTAGAGCTACTGGATTAACAGTGTTCATTTACAAGTTTTGCTAATTATCTTGACGTCATTATGCTGTATTGGTACAGATTTATTCTTTCATTGACTCAGAACAGTGAATCATGACTTGGCCAAATTGAATTTTCGGAGATCCATTTTTGCCAAATTGGAAGCAGCCTTCTTTGGCTGTAGAATTGAACTTTTCTAACTGCCATCTGATATTGTTTTTCATTTAGTAGTATCGGAGCAACACATTGTATAAGTTACTTTAGGTTTCTGTACAGACAAGTCTTCATTCTGTTTCTATTGAAGAGCTCCCACTGCTTTTATTTTTTTTCATGCATGAGCTTGTGAAAAACATTACGATTGTACATTTATGTCGATGGTGACTATTTTAACCACTTCAAGTCTGGACACTTTTACCCCCTTCTTATCCAGGCCAATTTTCAGCTTTCAGTGCTATCACACTTTGAATGACAATTGCGTGGTCATGCAATATTGTACCCATATGAATGTCTTAGCATTTTTTTGAGACAAATAAAACTTTATTTTGGTGGTATTTATTCACCACTGGGATTTTTTTTGAAAAGGTCCTTTCTTAAAAAATTTTACAAATAATCTTTCTTCGTGAATCTTGGCCAAAATGTATTTGGTTATTTTTTTAGTAAAAAAAAAAAAAATAACCCAAGTTAGTTTATAACCAAAAATTATATTTTTTAAAAAAAATGTTTTACATTTTAATTTTTTTTATATTTTTTTTTTTTTTTTTTTTTAAAGTCTGTCACCCTAGCAGTACAGTGTCACTGCACTACTTGTGGGGGATGATGAAGATTTATTTTATTTTTTTTACACTGATTGCTTTTACTCCCATAGAGGCTGTAAAAGCAATCATTTCTCCTTCTCTCTGGCTGCATTCTTGCAACCATTAAGAAATACTGTGAGAGCTGTGATTGGTCACAGCTTGTCACATGGTACAAGGATGCTGTGAATAGCCTTGTACCATTTGATCTCTGTGACCATTCACAGATTTCACACATAGTAAGCAATGATGTCAGAAGTGACATCTTACTTACTCCTTTTCATGTGATCACTGATTGGCCAATCAGTGATCACATGATCGGGACCTCACACAGAGGTCCCTTACAGCGATCGGTGTTCCTCTGTGTCCTCCAGACACAGCAGGCACTGGATCGCGGTGCCGTTCGCTCCCAGGGAGCACGCACAGCCTGAAAACGCGGGCGCCATTTATGAACGCCAACCCGCTCCTGCACTGCTCATGTACATAATCAGCCAGATGGGAAGTGGTTAAAGAGGAAGCTGTGCCCAAAAGGCTGGAAGATGGTAAAAGGCTAGTCACCAGTATTGTTGGTGGTTTCCCTGCAGTCTCTATTACTGACTTTACATGCTAATGAGTTTTGCATCCTCAGGTCAGTCTCTAGCAGACCAGAACAGTAAGTAGCGAAGTAATGATATTACCAAATCTCACTCCAGATCTCCTGAGACTAACAGTCAGAGGCAGCAGTGCATTAGATTGACACTTTTTATGTATGCAGTTATGGGACTGTGTTATATTGTGGGACTGTGTGCACAGGAGTCTCTGGACACCCTCAAGTACCAAGAAGTACTGTGCTATTTTTGTAGATTTAAATCCGGATAAAATGTACTGATTACTGCTCAGGCACCATTAACACTTCTGTATGTTCCCTATAACAGCAGATCTTCACTTTGTGAGTTCAGTTCCACTTAACCACAGTTTGTATCTGCATATTATTAATAAAACGAATGTCTCTGTGTATGAGTGTAAAAGTGCCAGTGTAGCTGACCTTTACCAGATATGCTTATTTATTTAAAGAATATGTAAACCCAACATTTCATTTTCCTGATATGTCTGCTGTACCATGTACTTGTATGAAAAAGTATCCAGCTCTTGTTGTATTTCTTCCTTTGTGTGAAATACCTGGTGTCCCTGCCAATCCCTCTGCTTTCCTTAAAGACTGACCATACTTGGCACGAAAGCACAACACGGTCCATTTTCTGGCTGTCTGGAACTCTGCCTACTCTGCTCCAATGATCAGACTTGTGCTGATATGCCCCCCTCTGCACAACTATTCACTAAGACCACTAGTGTGCTGCTGTTTCTCCTCCTCCTAGCTCCTTATGCAGCTAAAAACAGAGGGAATGGTGATCACTTGCATAAAAGGGGGTACACCTATTTATATGTATACACAAATGTTTTGTCTTTCATTTCCATTTTAAAGTGATTCTAAAGACTTATTTTTTTTTAAGAAAAAATAACAAACATAAGTATACTTACCTGCTGTGTGCAGTGGTTTTGCACAGAGCAGCCCGGATTCTGCTCGGGTCCCCCGCCAGCGCTCCTGGCCCTTCCCTCCTGTCCAGTGCCCCCACAGCAAGCAGCTTGCTATGGGTGCACCCGCTGCTCCGTGTGTCCATTCACACACAGAGCCACAGCTCGGTCCCACCCCCTTTCTTTTCTCATTGGCTCGCTGGCTGTGATTGACAGCACTGGGAGCCAATAGCTTCCACTTCTGTCTCAGCCAGTCTGAAGAGGGAGTCTTGGGATAGCCAAGACTCCAATGTACATGGCTGGATGGAAAGGGGCTTAGGTGAGTATTGGGGGGGGGGGGGGATGCTGCACAAAGAAGGTTGGTTGGTTTTTTTTGTTTTTTTGTTTTTTTTTTTTTTTTTTTACTTTCATGCATAGAATGCATGAAGGTACAAAACCTTGAGCCTGTACAACCACTTTAAATTGAATGGACTGTTTTACAAGGTTGAGGGCTTTTTTGCTGAGTGCTGAGTTCTTATTTTGAGGCTGTAGCAAAAAGTTATATGGTGCTTTTCCTTTTGTAGTGCCCTTCATGCTTGTGATAACTGATATACAATAACCTTCTCAATAATAAGTTAACGGTAAAAATAGAGGACATCCTGCACAACCTTTTGGAATATTGTCCCTTTCCTGTTGTTCAAGCTATACCTAGATTGCTTTGCAATGTGATAAAAAGCAATGTTCCTTTTACTGATGCAGCATGATCATCTTGGTGCACTCTTCCTCTCTGGTTTCCGTTTGTTTGCATCTGTCAATAGTGTGGTCACAAGTTGCCTCACTTCCTCTCCATGTTAAGCAATGTTTCAAATGTAGGATAGGTCAGCAAAGGGGATTTTTTTTCCATAGAACAGCCACAGATCACAAAAAAAAAAAAATTGTTGGTTTTCCGCTGCTACTTGATGTAGCATTCTGTCTGTTTCTGTAATTGTAATTTTTGTTGCCTTTTTAGGACCAAGATGGGCCTCTTGGAATATTGGGGTATTTATGTGTATTCGCTGTGCTGGTGTCCACAGGAACCTGGGTGTCCACATATCCCGGGTGAAGTCTGTCAACTTGGATCAGTGGACACAAGAACAAATACAAGTATGAGAATATCTAACAGTAAAATGATTTATGAGAGGAAATAGAGTGCATATGATAACTTATTTATTCTGATCATCATTCATCCTTCTTTTTTTTTTTTTTTTTTTTTTTTTTTTTCCCCAGTGTATGGAAGAGATGGGAAATGGAAAAGCAAAAAGACTGTATGAAGCATTTTTACCTGAAAACTTTATCCGGCCGCAGACAGACCAGTATCCTTTGTTTTAGAAGCTAAACAGACCTTGATGATTAGATGAGGTGATGGAGCATGCTACTTCTGTGACATCAGTACTAAGATTCATCAGCTTACATTTAAAAATGTATACCAATTAGGCCAATTGTGGCAGCAAGTCTTAGCACTCATAATACTCAGTGGATGAGAAAAGATACCGTAGATAATCCAGTGTGTAGAAAAGTGGCTTGCTAAATCTGTATAGCTGTCAGCTGGTAACTTTGTATCTGATTGCAGCACTCCCACCACTTGAGGTAGTGATGGCCTTGGTGCTGTCTAATTAGAACTCCTAGGTGATAAGGTAACTGGCCACCCAGTCCATAGTAGGGATGACTCTCTTCCTCCCTCATGTTTTGCAGCCACTAGTACACTTTGCAGGCAGCATTTACAGGATTGCTAAATTGTTGTGCAAGCTGTATGTCAAGTTTTTACAAAAGGTGAGCAATTAAAGTGTATTTATAATTAAACTTGCTTTAGTTGGTTTTACATTCATGTGCCGCTCTTGTGACAATTCCAAAGTTTTAGATTCTCCTTTTAGTTTTTGTCTTGCTGACAATAGAAAATCTTCTACTTTTTGCATATTCCTGTATGCTGTACTTGTGTTTATGATAGCACCAGTGTATAGTGGGTACAACAGTGCACATCCATACATGTCAATGAAAGGCTGTACTTTGCACTCGGACTGCCTGAACAGAAGAGATCCATTAGCAGTTCTGCTGACTGTTCTCAGCTGGCCTAGGTGCAATCCTATTTTTCTCCTTTTTTTTTTTTTTTTTTTTTTCTTCTTCCCTTGGTGTATATCATAAACTATCAACTATGTTTTGTGCCAGGAGAGTTTAGTGTCAGGAAAAAAAAAATTAAAACCCATTACTGGAGCAGTGGCGTTTTGGCAACAAAAAAATATGCTTCACAGGCTTAAACGCGTGTAAACACGCCTAAACGCTAGATACGTTTTAGCTTTAATTTATTTCAGTGGCCAGAATTAATTTTTTAATTCTGACTAATGAAATGAATTAATGCCCAAACGATGTGGGTGAAGACGTGTAAACGGTAGTGGTGCACCGAAATGAAAATTCTGGTGCCGAAAACGAAAATTCAAAATGCACTTGGCAGAAAACCGAAAATGCGCAGTTTTTTAAAAATGAATATATATTTTTTTGGAAAAAAATACACTTTTTTTTTATTAAAAAAACACAATATATACCCCAATTGTTTTGTAAAATATGAAATAGGATGTTTACGGTGGGTAAATAGATACGCAACATGTCATGCTTTAAAATTGCGCACGCTCGTGGAATGGCCTGAAACTTCGGTACTTAAAATTCTCCATGGGTGATGCTTTAAAAATTTCTACAGGTTAGTTAAGTTACAGAGGAGGTCTAGTGCGAGAATTATTGCTCTTGCTCTGACGTTCGTGGAGATACCTCACACGTATGGTTTGAACAGTTTTCATATGTGGGCATGGCCTACGTATGCTTTCACCACTACGTGGGGGGAGGGGGCACTTTAAACTTTTTTTAAAAACATTTAATGTGTTTTTTTTGTTTTGCACTGTCCCTTTTAAAAAAAATTTTAATCACTTTTATTCTTATGACAAGGAATGCATGCATCCCTTGTGATAGAAATAATTAGTGACAGGTCCTCTTTATGGAGAGATATGGGGTCAATAAGACCCCACATCTCTCCTCTGCAATGTAAAGCATTGGATCAAAAAAGCATTGATCTAGTGCTTAAAAAAAAAAAAAAAAAGTGACATCGCTCCGGTCCTCCAAGGGCATAGACATGAGTGGAGGCCATCTTTCCTTCACTTATCTCTATGCCCAGCGCTGGGATCGTTTGATGGTTTCTCAGGTAAGGCTGAGAAATAGCGAGGGGCAGCAGCGCGGGCGGGCGGTGGCAAGGGGTGGGGTTTTTAAGCACCTGTATCAGTGTTTTTTCATCGGCCGATGGGAGGAATGGTATTTTCAGCCGAAACGTTTCAGCCACCGAACTTTCGGTGTATCCCTAGTAAACGGCCAAAAAGCTGCTGCCAGTAGGCAGCTCCCAGAGGAGTTAAACATACAAATGTTTTGCCCAGCACAGTGGCTTAATGGTTAGCACTTTTGCCTGACAGTACTAGGGTCAATGGTTCGATTCCCAACCACAGCACCACCTGCCTGGAGTTTGCATGTTCTCCCTGTGCTTGCATGGGTTTCCTCTAGGTACCCGGTTTTCTTCCACACTCCAAAGACATGCTGGTAGGTGAATTGGATCCTGTCTAAATTGGCCCTAGTATGTGTATGTATGAATGTCAGTTAGGGACCTTAGATTGTACGCCCCTTGAGGGTTAATGACTGATGTGAATGTACAATATATGTATATAAAGCGCTGCGTAAATTGACAGCGCTATATAAGTACTTGAAATAAGTAAATGAATAAATATGCATAAGGCCAACATGGAAAATAATAGCAATGACCACTGTGAAGGAAATGCCAGTATATAAACCAGCAGGTTAGACCAGTGGTGGGCAACCTTTTTTTTTCAACTGAGCCAAATCTCGCTAAAACCACGATTGAAATTTATTTTGAGAGCCACATTTTTAAAACTGAAAATGCATCCCCCATATAGTAATTCATCCCCCATATAGTAATTCATCCCCCATATAGTAATTCATCCCCCATAGTAATTCATCCCCCTATAGTAATTCATCCCCCATATTTTGTCAATTCACTTACCTTTGCTCCGCGCGTTCCTCTCGCCGTGTTCCCGCGCCGTTCCGGTCTTCAGGGCAGACTGTGAGAGGAGAGGAGTTCGTCACGCTGCCCCGCCTACATCCTGACAGCCAATGTTTGCCACGCTCCGCGGGCCGGATTATAAAGGTCCGCCGGGCCGTAGTTTTTGTCCATTGCTGGGCTAGCTGCAGAATCCTGACTTTTGGGGCGGCCGCCCGAGAGGAGGGAGGGGGAGCGGCGCCCGGCACACAGAAGAGCCGCGGCTTGCCGACCACTGGGTTAGACCATTTCTCCAAAGCACACGTCGAGCTCTATACTGCACTCAGGAATGTCCTCTTGGAGAATGGTTTGTTTTACTTTCATTAGCAAGGTTCTTTCACTGCAGGATTTTCGATGTGTTCAGTTTTATACATACATTACAGGGATCTTGTACACCTAATCCATTTTATTTCCATATAGGCACACTTTTATTGGCTATTGCTGTATGCTCTGCACCTCTGTATCTATCCTTAACATGCAATCTACAGAGCAGTGGAGACCTTTATTAGAGAGAAGTATGAAAAGAAGAAATACATGGATCGCAGTATAGACATAAATGCATTTAGAGTGAGTATTGATGTAAAGCTTGCACAGTGTAGTCTGAAGCTTACTAGTTATTTAGTCGGTGATGTTGGTAAGCATAATATTGTATGTATAGCTCCTATAGTGGTAATGGGGCTACAGAGTAGCTGCAAAAGCTGTATGCTGTTGACTGCTTTCAAATGGAGGACCAGGAAGTTTTTAGCAACAAGCTGAATAGGTATACTTAAATATAGTTTTAAATGTTCCATTTGCCATATTCAGAACATGCACAGTATGCTGATGAAGTCTGCTTACATTTTTATGCTTGAGGGTAACAAGTATACTACAGTAGAACCCACCAGTGCCACACGCTGCCTAAGTTAAAGCTGAACTCCGGCCACAAAAAAAATAAATTTATATGCTATATTCCTTAACTACAAAGGATATACATTCGCCAAAAGGCTTTGCAAACCCTAATTTTACCTTGTGAAAATGTAACTTAATCACTGTATTGTACATAGCCTGTGCAGAGCTGTGGAAGTGGGGTCCAGCAGGTACAGAAGAGGGGGAAGACGAGACTATGTACAAAGAGAGAGCAGCAGTGACAGATCTTTATTACAAGAATTTCTTACACAAAGGCAAAGTTTCACACTTAAAGTGGAGTTCCACCCAGAAGTGGAAGCTCTGCTTGTTTGCCTCCTCCCCCCTCCACTGTCATATTTGGCACCTTTTGGGGGGAGGGGGGAGCAGGTACCTGGATTTGACACTTCCAGCTCAGTTTGCCTCGGCAAAGTGAGATGGAAGTTCAGCCTCCCTCCTTCCTCCCGCAGTCTCCTGGGAAACTTCACAGGTTCCAGAAGACTGCCGGACCAATCGGGATGCACAGCGCAACTCACGCATGTGCAGTGTGTACCTGGTGGTGAAGCTGTTAGTCTGGTGCTCACAGTTGAGATCCGGTGCTGGGGAGAGGAGGAGGAGAGAGGACGGTGCAGGTGAGCACATCGCTGGACCCTGGGACAGGTGAGTGTGGTTTCTTTTTTTTAAAAGTCAGCAGCTACAGTTTTTGTAGCTACTGACTTTTAATAAACACAAAAACAGCTGGAACTCCGCTTTAATTACTGCACAGATTTGGAAGAAATGCACAAAATACACCAAGATTCAAAGAAGAATGCACATGACTCTTGTATTTAGAATCTTTGCTTATACCAGAGTTACAGTTTAACATGGGCAGCCTGGGTTGCATCCTGGAGCCTTGACTGGACATCATTTTGGATGTTACAAGTATGTAATAGATGTATGTTTTATAAAGTGTATTAATAATAAATATTGTTTAATTACATGAGAGTTGATTGCTAATTAACAGCCCATGACATGACACTCTGAGTGGACTTGACTGTATCTAGAAATGTGTTCACTTCATTAGCTGGATCTTTGGTGTTCTAACATCACTTTTTATTTAAGAGAGGAACCTGTCAGGGTAGAAACAGAGAAGCTGCTGTTTCTGACATATTTGTGCACTAAAGGTGTCCTACATGTTTCACCTGGCTACATGTTATTCATGGTCAATGACTTGTTAGCAGCGATAGAAGTGACCGCCTCAGAGAGTAAACAAATTTGAGTGTATATTTTTATTCTAACAGTTTTCCTTTAAAGCTGAAGTATGCCCAAAAATATTTTGTACATTTTGCACAGTAAAAATAAATTACTTCTAATGAAGTATGCCACATCTCTGGCTGTTGCAACGTTTTTAATTATATTTAGCCCACAGTCTCCTGTCTGCTCTGAATGTCCAACTCTGAAACTTGTAGTTCTGGCTGTAGTACAGACTCACAGGTTGCTCTCCTTAGCACCTCCTCCATTCAGATAAATGCAGATGGAGGATTATTTGATAAATATAAACATTGATAAAAAGAACAGTTAAAGGAAATAAAAGAACGTTATGTTGTCAATGTATTGACTGTAATTTCTGATGATTTTAAAGAAACCCTATCACTGGATTAGCTACAACCAATTACATATATGCAGTCTTTTTTTTTTTTTTTAAAGTTTTCAAAGAATTTATTGACAATATATATGCAGTTCTTAAAGTATCTGCAGGACCCCAGCTGCTCCAGCAAGTTGTTCAGGCTAAGCAGATTTAGCTGTGTTGTTCATCTCTGAAAATAAACACTTCCTGGAGTGTCAAAACAAATAACTTCCAGGCCACCTGCGGTCACTCCTCTCCTGTCCCTTCACTGTTAATTTTGTACTCCTTCTGTGAGAAAAATCCCAAAACAATGAAAGTGAATAGGAAAATAATGGCCTAAAATACAACAGCAGCATTACTATTAGGTTGCTTTCACTTCTGATCCTATGAGATTAGTAGATAAGACGACACATTACCAGATGGCACAAATGCAATTCGACCATGTCCATTGTGGTGACAGGGTCTCTTTAGTTTTTCCTTATTAATTGCTATCAATCACGTGACTATAAACCTTCAAAGCCAGTATACTCGGAGATAAACACTTGGGCAAGAATTTGGTATAGCAAGAATATATTTTTTTTTTTTTTTTTTGTAACAGAAAGAGAGAGAAAGCAAGTGGAAGAAATCGGAGTCTGCTCCTGAAATAAAGTCAGAGACTGTCATATTTGAGAAGGTTAAACTGGTAAGTATCTTGTCTTCTATGCCCTGTATTTAAAATTCAAAGATGAAACCCATTGTGTTTATAATAAAAGGATGGTCTGGGGTGGAGTGATGTAATCTATTATAAGCTGATAGCTGTACCAAGGTTCTCATATGTACTCTTAAAGTGGAACTAAGCTGTATCTGAGAACCACAAACTGTAAACGCTGTTTGATTATTTTTTTTTATATTCAAAAAACTCCTCGATGAGTGTGTGGCAACTGCGCTGCAAGATGGCCACTAAGTGAGACCGCTCCACAGCTGGGGAGATCGCATCGCACAAGGACTTGCGGATGTCCCTACACTCCTCACTTACCGGGGACTCCTGGGAATGCCCCGATGGGGGGAAAAAAGAAGCCCCTGCACCCAGTAAATTGGAGGGGTTTTTCCCTCCTCCTCCCCAGAGGCTCCGATGAGATGGTGGCGGCCGCCGTTCCTCATCACAGGCTGCGACGGAGCGTGACACGCTGCCATGCCAGCACAGCACAGAGGGGAATGGCCAGTGCAATCCAGGGGAATCCTCCAGCTCTGGTACCTCCTCACCCTCTGTTCACAGCTCAGTCAAGTCCAGACCCCACATGGATGAGGATGAAGACCATCTTACTTATATGGGCATGGAGGTAGGCACATCTCACTCTAATTCCTCCCCCACTACGGACAGGCCTGACCCCATAGCTAATTTCCCCACTACGAGACAGTCGGTGTCGACTCCACATTAAAGGACATGCTATTATCCCTATGAGCATCCCTGCAAACCGACATGCTTTCCTACATCCGCAACTTTAAAGGGGAACTCTGTGCGATAGGTGACAGAGTGGGGCAGATTGCAGACAAACTGGGAGAATATGCCACCTCTTTCAACTCCTCTCTAGATGCCAATAGCACTTACTCGGAAGACGTTCAGTGGCTTAAAATGAAAATGGCTTTTTTTGAGGATAGATCCCGAAGAAATAACATAAATATCCGCGGGATACCTGAATCTGTGCATCAGGCCCAACTGGCTCATTATGTACAAGATTTATTTTTTTCTGTTGCTCCTGACCTGACGCTGGCAGACCTCACTATTGACAGGACCCATAGGATACCGAAGCCAAGCCATCTGTCCCAATCCATCCCAAGGAATGTGCAGCTAAGGGTGCACTTCTTCCAGGTCAAGGAAAGGGTTATGCAGGCTTTCCGTTCTTCCAAAAATATTTTGGAGAAATTTCCCACATTGCAGTTTCTTCCTGACTTTTCACAATACACCCTCCAGAGGTGCATAAATTTAATGACAGTTACTAAAGCTCTTCGGAACCATAAAATCATTTATGATTGGTGCTATCCGTGCTCTTTAATCATTACTCATAACGGGGAATCTTCTACTATTTCATCTCTGGAAAGTGGCCTCCAACTGCTTAGAAGATGGGATATTATTCCTGAGGAACACCCTCCTTCTACAGGGCTACCTGGGCCCCGCCCGATTACTTCCAACTGGCAAGTTGTATCACGCAGGAAGTCTTACCCTCCTCAAGGTCAGCATGAGTCCTAAGCACTCCTCGGGGGTCTCCTACCCCAATACTCCCCAGCTGAGCCTTAGATGTCTACACCTTTCTTCACCCGTCTAGTTCGGCAGTTTGTTGCACTCAGTTCTTCAAACCTTTTTTACCTTCCCTACCCCATTATGCCTTTTCTCAAGTTTCAACTCCTCTACTCCTCATGCCTTGCAGTTGGTGATACTCATTTGAAAATTGTCGTTGCCACTTTCAAATCTTTGATTACTACCTTACCTTGAGGTGGTCCACCTCCCAGTCTGCTCTGAACAGCACCTACAAATCTTCACTCATTCGATTTTTTTTTTTTTAATGGGACTTAAAATATGTTAGAGGCCTAAACCACCCCGCGAAGAGATCCTCGATGTGGAAGGAAGCCTCCAATCTCAAAGCTGACATACTCTGCATACAAGAGACTAATTTTCATGCTATTCATACCCCTAGTTGTACCCATAAAGCATTCTCTCACATCTTTCGGGCTTTGGCCCCCTGCAAAAAAAGGTGTGTTGACGGCAATAAAGAGCTCTTTCCTTTGCCTGCAAGGACTCGATCCTGGATTCACAGGGCAGGTATATTGTCCTACTATGTGACATTAACAACCAGCCTTACACCCTGATGAATTTCTATGCCCCCAACAAGCATCAACTTAGATTCCTCTGAAAACTCCTCCGGAAGGTGGACAAGATTAAGTATGGCCGTTTGCTCCTCTGTGGAGACTTTAATTTAACAGTGGACCCTTCCATGGATTCATCCAAGTACTCGAAGAAATCGACCCCTGCTCTCCACTCACTATTACATTCTGAAGATCTGTTTGATGTTTGGCGCTGCTAGAATGCTGCTGAGAAGGACTTCACATTTTTCTCTTCTACAAATGCCACATATTCTTGCATTTTGATGGTTTTGACAGATAAATGGCTGCTTCAACAGGCCTTCTTCTCCTCTATCTCTGACATCACCTGGTCGGACAATGCAGTTATATCTCTGCACATAGAGGAGAGGGAGCCCTGTTATCCGATACACCTTTTGGCTTTGCAATTCTAAAATTATCAATGTTCCTGCCAATGTGTCACTGCTCTCTCAGCATCTCCGGGACTTTTTCAAAACGAACTCTGCCTCTTCTACTGACAACTTCTTCATTTGGAATGCCCCTAAGGCTTATATGAGGGGTGTAATAATTCAGCTTTGCGCTAGAGTCAAGAAGCACTATAACCTTCGATTTGAACTCAATCCTGGACAATAAGGCTCACTTTGACCCAACCTGTACCTCCTATCCTTCACAACCTTAGACTTGAATTGAGAGAGCTTCTGTTTGAACAGTATGATAAGATATCAAGAACCTGCAAAATTAGATACTACTCCAATGGCAATCAAGCTGGGAGACTCTTAGCTAACAGACTTAAGTCATACAGGGCTACCTCTAAAATATCCCATCTCTTGCACCCTCTCACTAATCAGTAAATCACTACTCCCCTGGAAATCGCCAACTCCTTCGCAGATTATTACAGTACTCTGTATAATCTTAAAAATGATCCACTCACCCCCCAACCTAATGCTCAGGTTATTGGTGATTCTTGGCTCAGCTTCAGATCCCCTCCTTATCTGAGTGGCCTCTCTCTACTTTGAATGACACCCTTCACTGAAGTTGAAATTGTCAGTTATAGATTCCCTCCCTATCGGGAAGTCTCCGGGACCTGATGGGTTCACTAATGAATATTATAAACGTTTCAAAGCTCAATTGGCTCCAAATCTGAGCCTGGTTTTCCATGATGCTATGTCCCAGGCTTTTCCCCCAGAGATGCTGAGAGCCTATGTAGTAACCATCCCTAAAGCGGGTAAAGACCCGACCACTCCCGCAAACTTTCAACCCATTTCTTTGCTCAATACAGATGTTAACATTTACGCTAAACTGTTGGTAGGATGCTTGTTCGATATCCTCCTGAATCTGTTCAAGCCAGATCAAACTGGTTTTACAAAAGGCAGGCAGGCTTCTGATGCGACTAGACTCTTAACTAATCTTCCACACTATGCGGAGACCCATCGAATGCCTTCTCTGCTTCTCTCACTTGACACGGAGAAGGCATTCGATCGGATCCACTGGGGGTACATGACGGTAGTGCTGTCCAAGTTTGGCTTCCAGGGACCATAATGTCAACCATCCTAGCACTCTACTTGTGCCCAACCGCACAGTTATACACGTCTAATCTCCTTTCTAGACCATTTGATATCATGAACGGCACACGCCAGGGGTGTCCTCTGTCCCCCTCGATATTTAAACTCTTGATAGAACCCTTAGCAGAGGCCATTCACTCACACTCCCACATCGCAGGCTTCCACATTGGCCAATAGGCCCATTCTATTAGTCTCTTCTGATGACATTATCCTCCTACTTACTAACCCTTGGACTTCTTTGCCCCAGGCCCACCACATCCTATCCAGGTTTAGTGAAATCTCATACTACAAGGTCAGTTATTCAAAATCATTGATTTTAGACTTAGGCACCCCGGACTCAGACAGGCAATTACTGCAAAAATCCCTCCCGTATTTAGGGCCTCTCATGGAGGCTCATATCTAGGTATAACCCTGACCCCTTCCACGAAACACCTTACCCACGTTAACTTCCAGATTTTAGCTAAAAAAAACTCTCACAAGAACTAGTCCGCCTAAGGTTGAACTATCCTGGTCTGGCCGCCTTGCTTCTTACAAATGCTTATTCTCCCCCAAATCCTCTACCTCTTTAGAACTTTGGCTTCTCCGGTTCCTTCGACATACACCAGTTCTCTACAAAATGCGTTGAAACAGTTTGTTTGGCAGGGCAAGAGAGCCAGATGCTCTCATGCCCTTCTAATGAAACATAGACATGCAGGCGGAATGGGTATGATTGACATCAAAGATTATTGGCTGCCTGCCTAGACCAACTGAAACATTGGTTCGTACCCTCATCTGCCTCGTATTGGCTAGCTGTAGAGCACTCCTTCGGGCCCGTGATCTCTGTTCTCTCTTGATTGCTGACATATGGAAACCCTTTTTTTTTAAAATAAATTTTCCCCCCTATGAGAGCCTCTCTTCTTGCTTGGAGAGAAATGTATAGATTCCCTGGTTCGGGATTCTTTGACACGCCACTCCACTCCACATACCTCTTCTGACAATACACTCTCTTATCCCACATATAATTCTTAGGCCTTGGTTATCGAAAGGTATCATTGTCATAAATGATATTATGTCGCACGGGTTATCCCTTTCCGTGGCCGCCCTACGGATGCGTATTGGGCTGACAGATGCAGATTATTTCCATTATCTCTGAGTTCAACATCTTCTGTTAGCTTCACCTCCCCCGGTAATCCATTTACCCCAACGTCTAATACAATTTTTTTCTATCTCCCAACCCCCCCCCCCCCCCCAAAAGTAAGGGTATTTATCTAATATACAACATCTTAAAAGAGAAATTGACCTTTCTCAAACTAGGACCCTTACGCTGGGAAGATGATTTGAATTCCTTCTTTGCTCCCTCCCAATGGAAGAATGCTCTCAAATTAATTTATAAAGCCTCACACTGTGTACAGCGTTGGGAATTAACTCAAAAAATATATCTCTGCTGGTAACTCACTCCTTTTCTTGTGGCCCAATTCTCTCAGTCCCAGTCCCCACTATGTTGGCGTGGGTGTAATCAAGTTGGCAATTTTGTCCACTTATTCTGGACCTGTAAAAGTGTTATCAGTTTCTGGAACAAAATCTTTACAGTACTCTCAGATGTAGAAGGTCACAGAATCACTCCCAATGCTGCCTTAGCGATACTAAATCTAGGCATTGAGGACGTCCCTTGTTCTGCTCGCATATTCACCACACATGTTCTTATCGCTGCCAGGTTCATGATAACCCGGAACTGGAAAGCCCAAAATGCTCCCAATGCCTCTGAAGCTCCAGATCTTGTTAAACTCCATTACTTTTATGAACGTTCCTTAGCAACTTGGTCAGGCCAAATCTCGGCCTTTGACTCTGATTGGGAACCCTGGACTTCCTGGTCGAACAGGTGCCCTTAGTCACTTCAAGCCATGGAATTTCAGTGTGATTCACCTTAGTCCCTTCCCTTTGTGACCATCTTTACTGATTTCTTGGTGACTTAATAACCGGTACTCCAACTGCAATCCCTTTGTCTTCATATATGTTTGTGTTTCATTATGATTCTTTGTTTCCCCTATTATACATGATTACTGCTTTTATTGCAAGCATGCATGTGGCGGAATAACATGTATGTTTTTCTTGTGTAAAATCAATAAATTTATTGGGGGGGAAAAAAAACAAAAAAAAAGACAAACTCCTCAATTCAACCCTGTCTCCATGTTTTATTTTGTTGAAATCACTTTGAAAATCGCTCTCATAGCATTTCTAGCCATGGCTATCTTGAGTAAGAGCAGATGATTTATGTAATATTTTTACTTTCTGGAATCCATCTGCCCTTATCTCAGTCATGCAGGCAGGAGGGTATGCTTAGCTGAGAAAGCCCCTTCTCCCCTCCTCTAGATGAAAGGGAAAAAAATGCCCATGAAGACTCCTGGGATGTATGACCTCATTTTGCCCAAGACCATTAAACCAGGAAGAAATCTGAAGTAATGTAAGGGAAAAAAAAGTTTTTTAAAAAGGAAATATAATATACCTTCCTATCTATTTACTAATACTAGCTGCAAAAAAGATTAAAAATAGATAATGTTGGTTCTGATAGTTTAGTTCTGCTTTAAAGTAGACCTGACCCAATTACTAAAATCTTATATAAGCATACACATAAGTGTATTTTTTTAAAGCTGCTTTTTCATCTTTTTAAACCTGCAGCTTTCCATAAAATAATACTTAATACTGCTATGAAGGGGTCCTACTTCAGGCACTTCCTGTTTTGGGGTAACTGTCTCCCAACTGTACTTTTGCATTCCCTGCCACAGTATATCCTGGTGGAACCTACATATGGCTCTGCCAATATGCATTATGCAATCACAGCTTCTCTTTTGGCCAAAAATACTCTCACCGGCCACTTTATTAGGTACACCAGTTCAATTGCTTGGTAACACAAATTGCTAATCAGCCAATCACAGGGCAGCAGCTCAGTGCATTTAGGCATGTAGACATGGTGAAGTTGACTTCAAACCGAGCATCAGAATGGGGAAGAAAGTGACTTTGAACGTGGCATGGTTATTGGTGCCAGACAGGCTGGTCTGAGTATTTCAAACACTGCTGATCTACTGGGATTTTCACACACAACCATCAATAGGGTTTACCGAGAATGGTCCGAAAAAGAGAAAATATCCAGTGAGCGGCAGTTGTGTGGACGAAAACGCCTTGATGAAGTCAGAAGAGAATGGGCAAACTGATTGCTGCGACATTCAGATGTTAGGGACAGAACATGAAAGCATGGATCCATCCTGCCTTGTATCAGCAGTTCAGACTGGTGTTGGTGTAATGGTGTAGGGGATTTTTCCTTTGCACTAGCAAGGTGTACCTAATAAACTGGCCGGTGTTAGTAGTTTGTGGCAATGGTTTTGGACTGTATTTTGAACCAGAGTTCCTCTGGAGGTTGCTAAGGGGTTCCTTGAGCAGTCAGCAATTTTTGACTCTCAAATACTGTATGAAATTACTGACACCAGTATTTATGTATTTATTTATTTTTAAGCTATCTCTTTGGAAGGTATTGTTCCCACTGGCCACCAGTTTTAATGGGCATTCTTCCTATGGCCACCAATGTAAAGAGGACATTTTTCACTAACCATCAATGAAAGGCTCCACTTACACGTGTGCAACTCCAAAATCGATTGTGACTCTTAATGTGACTTTACACTCCCTGGCACTCAAGTCACATCAAAATAGTCTAGGAGCCTTTTCAAAGTCGCCGCGACTTTAAAGTGTTACGAAACCCACAACAGTAAAATCAGTCTGTATATGAACTAAAGCATGCTTATTATATTCACTGTGGAACTTAAGGGATTATTTCTCCACATTGTGTAAAAAGGATTTTTGATCCTGCCTTCTCTGATCCTCCCCTTCTTCCAGTGTCTCCTAAGTATCTCCTGATAGAACAGAGGCTCGGGGGCAAGCTGCACATGCTCAGTTTGGTGTGTATTGCTAGAGAGGATTTTTTTATTTTTCTTTTGCGAGTGCATGTGATCAGCACAGGGCCAATCAGCACTGTCCAGATAGAGGTCAGGGGTCCTGCTTTTCCTACAGGAGAATGAAAACTCCTTCTACAAGCTGTAACCAGTGCTCTGTTGGGGACAATGATAAGAGGTCACAAGATGGCTATATACTGCTGATGAGGAAAGGTATTTAGCAGTTTATATTTCTATAATAATTGCATTTCCATGTTCTGTGTACTGTGGGAGACCAGATATATTGAATGCAGGGTCCTGGGTTTAGTAACACTTTTACGTCACATAGATCCGCATTGATGCCTTTGAAAACAATGGGCTAGGACTTGTCATGCAACTTTGTGTCCAAAGTCATATGACAAGTCGCACAAGTGTGAATGGAGCCAAAAAGGTTGAGAGCAGCTGCTTTAGGTGCACCAGTGAGTAAATTTGTTGAGCTTTCAACGTGATCATTTGGATCTCAGTGTAAATTAGATGTTTATTTATTGCTAAGTACTATAGCACAATTTACACACCCTCCGATGCCATGAATTATTTTGTGTCACTGCAAATTAAAGTGACTCTAAACAATATCCTTATTCTCCAAAACAATCTATACACGTCCACTACTGGTTTTTTTTTTTTTTTCTTCTAACCACCAGTGGGGTCAAATCTACAACTGTTTTTGGCCACAGTGATCAGAAAATTTTAAAAGAGTGGGCTGATAATTTTTTATAAATCAAATTTCTAACAGTTCAAGTAGTTTTTGTTCAAACGCATCCGTTCACTCCAAGATCAAAATAGTAAAAGCAAAATTCTTTTTAATAATGTTGGTCAAATCAAGTGTGCTGATGAGCACATTTGTTTGAAAATCCACTAGTGTTTGGCCAGCTTAACTGCATTTTTCTGTCTCCTAGTAATGTTCTCTGCAAGCTCCCAAGAGTCTCCTTTTTCTCACTCAGGTCCTTTTGGTTTGAATGAGTAATGCACATTAGCTGTGGTCATGTGCACTGCTCTATGCACATTACAAATTCCATAGTCCCTAGTCCATCTCAGGAATGAGCAAGAGAGTGGTGACTATGTCCATACATACAGTGGACCTATGGAGAGTGAATGTAGCCATCCTCTTAACAGGATGTCAGTTCCCAGCAGCAAAGAATTAAAAAATTAATTTGGGGATTTGATGACGGCTGAGACCTATAGAAAGGGCATACGTACTCTAACAGTACAAACAAATGGCAACTGCCCCAATCTATAACTGGCCTTTGCAGCAAAGTACACATACATGGATGTTTGTCATAACTTATGTGATTGGCACAGAAAACTCAGCCTGCCTGACAGAATTTGATATCCTACATCCCGGAAGAGTAAGGTACATAGACATACCTTATTATTGAATCCAGATGGGTCAAAAGACAGCCATCTTATGTTACTAGAGTATAGAAATTTATAGTGTGTTAATTTGTAAAAGTCTTGATTTAGTAATTTGATGTAAAATTGTAAAATACACATTTCAGGTGGGCATGCAACATCAAGGATTTTGAACTTTGAGTCATTACTACAGATCACTGTTGCAGCCAATATTAGGCCTCTTTCACACGAGCGTTCCGTATGTCTGTTTTTTTATCTGTCCGTTTACGGCTTAAAACGGACACCCATGTATTTCTATGGACTAACGGATGAACATCCATTGACATCCGTCCATGTCCGTATCCGTTAACATCCGTTTTTTTTGAACGGAAGAAAACCCTATTTTTCTTCCGTTTAAAAAAAAAAAAAACGGTAAAGGATGAAAAACTGATGAAAACTGATCCGTTTTTTCCATCAGTTCAGTCGCATTTTTTCAAAGAAAAAACAGAACGCCTGTGCGAAAGGACCCTAACTGTTTAATATGTTTAGCATTTACTATTGCATGTCACTGTGTAAACTTGATTTTCCCCTGTCTCTTTAGCCACAGAAAAAGGAAGACGCTAAGGCTCCTAAGGTGTCTCCCCAGAAGGCAGCGGAACCTGTTATGGATCTGTTAGGCCTTGGTGAGAAACTATTCAATAATGCTACCTGATGTCTGCTGTGTTTCCAATTTAAAATCTACATGAATTTTTATACACACACACACACACACCCCCCGTATTTTTCGCTCCATAAGACTCGCCTCACCATAAGACGCACCTAGGTTTTAGAGGAGGAAAACAAGAAAAAATATTCTGATCCAATGGACTGCAGACATAGTACAGGAAATGACCAGAGACTGCAGACATAGTACAGGAGATGGCCAGAGACTGCGGACCTTTGTGGAGCGGGGGGAAGGGAGTGTGGGTACCCAAATTTGACAGGTACCCTCTTTCTCTTCCGCTTCGATCACCTAGGCGATCGGAAGCGGAAGTTGTCCTCCCTCCCCGTAGTCTTCTGGGACCTGTCACGGGCCATTCACAAAGCGCAGCGCTTCTCACGCATGCGCAGTAGGCACCCGGCTGTGAAGCCGTAAGCTGTCACAGCCTGGTGCCCACACTAAACATGCCGGCGCCAGGGAGAGAAGACGGCTGGTGAAACCAGCGGTGGTGAGGACACCGCTGGACTGAGTAACAGGTAAATGGCTGTATTTTAAAAGTCAACAACTACAGTTTTTGTAGCTGCTGACTTTTTTTTTTTTTTCCAGCTGGAACTCCACTTTAAGGGGTAGCTGCTTTGGTCCCTGCCACAGAAGAGCCGAGCGGCCGGCCTGATATTCTAACATAGCAGCGGGAATACCAGGCTGGCAGCTCCATAAGACGCACAGACATTTCCCCATTTTGGAGCGTAAAATACGAGATGGATAGATAAAAACAGGTTTTAGGTTGTGGGGTTTTTTAGGTTTTAATATTCATACAAACCCAGTTTTCTTTGCCATTGAAGGTATATTTTTTTTTTTTTTTTTTTTTTTAATCAACTCTGATCTTTCACACTAATTATGTTGCAAAGTAGCCTTTCTCAATATCCAGCCCTGCACAGCTCCTAAACTGATTCTCTACAGTTTTTTTTATATTTTGATTTTTTAAATACTTTTATTCTTTAGGTCAGATATAAATAATATTTTATATGATCATCCAGTATTTACTTTTTCTAGCCAGCCAGTGGAGTGCTAGATGTGGTGCACTAAAGAAATAAAATCCTGCTTGCTGCATCTTTGATGTGCTTTCATGAAACTGCACATTTATATAAAGTCCGTGGTAATGTGCCTAAACTGTAACACACTTCACAGATGTGAACTGTCCCTTAGGGTTTACCCAGATTATGCTCAATAAAGTGTTAGGTCTCTTCCACATGGATGTCGTAATGCTGGCAGAAAGATTCTAAGAGAAAAAACACGAGTTGTGTTCCATAAAGACACAGAAAATTCTTCATACTGTTATAGCTGCCAGTGTTTCAATTATGTGTATACACTGATATGCATTTGTTTTTATTTGTTAATTACTGCATTCAGATATAAAATTTTCTACACAGCTGTGTGCATTGTCTAATAGACAACAATGCACCTGTGTTTAAAGCTGTAAAAAAAACAAAAACGATAACATGGTTACAAATGTGAAGTTATTTCACCTGTATGCAAGAAGCCTTAATATATTCTGAACAAGCAGTGCAGTTCACATCCAGTAGCTTTGGGAAATGTGGAGAAATTCATCTACAAAGTTTGCAACACTGGCATTGTTCTTTGCTGTTTTCTTAATACTTTGTGTTTGGGTATAAAATGTGGAAATACAGACTTTAGATGCAACCCAGATTGGCTGTACACTGTGTCGGTCTATGTTTACATTGGTTTTCCTAACCTATTGACTGTGCTGCATTGCTACTGCTTTGAATCTATTTATAAATCCCATGAACGCATCCTCTACAGATTGTGAAATATACAATCATAATCTAGTTTGTAAACTTTTAAAAGTACAGTTCAACCCAAACCTTTCCATTTTCTTGCCAGTTTACACCTGAATCGCACAGGAACATGGTCCACGTTCCTGTGCGACTCAGTGCTGTGCAATTTCCATTTCATTTGAATGGGTTGAAATTGCACTGGATTGCACCAAAAGTAGTCCATGTGCTACTTTTCAAAAACTCACTGTGTTGGATCGCATGGTACTGTGGAAACATTCAATCCAGTGCAGACAAACACTGCATTTGGGGTGTTTTTAGGTTTATATTGACACCCATGGCAGATCTCACACCCAGTACATTTTGAACATGGAGCAGGAAACGCTCTGTTCACCTAAGAGGTTTGGGCCTTAGGCCTGCATTTCTTGTAATGTGACGCTGTTAAGGGAGATGTCAAATTAAGTCATCAACCAGATTCCTAAAATCTTGGTATCCTGCACTAGTAAGGGTTGCATTACAGTGCACTTGATGTGAGAGGAGACAAAAATTAAAAACTCCACAGGGCAGGCTTAAATTATCTTAAACGCAACAAAACTGTACAATAAAATTTGATGAGCTTTTTGCTAAAGAAAGATTTCTAAGGTGAGGATCTTGGAAACCCTATATCAAATTTTCATTGCATTTTGCTTTTAGATGCTCCAGTGGCTACAACTGTTACCAATGGGAAGTCAAGCACCAGTTTAGAGAAGGAATTGGACCTTTTTGGGCCTACATCAGGCTCTAAACCCAGCCAGGTAAGCCAATTTACTTTTCATCTTTTTTTATATTGCAGATATCTAGCCTCACTTATTATTGTGTCCTGACTCTGCTCAGAGTTGAAGCCGGAAAAAAGTATGATATGATAGCAGTAAGAATTGAAACTGTCCCATTATGTTTTTCATCTAATAATCTTAGGTTACATTCCAGAGCATTTAATAGCTTTGTTTTTCCTCTTTCAAAGTGGTGAACTAGCAAGTCATTAACTCATTTTGTAGCCAGTATGCATGCAAGTTGAGTTTGTGTAGCAAGCTCTATTTTTTTTTTTTTTCTCATTAATTACAGTAATTCAGAAATTATTAGCCCCACATTTTTAACCATACCGCCCTCCCAACCTCCCCCTCTTCAACCCATTCTCAGTCTTTTTTTTTTTTTTTTTTTCCCGTCCTTACCTTTTTGTGACGGCAGATATACTCCAGTCCATATCACTCACTGCTGCTGGTTCTGGTGTTGTTGACCGCTGATCCAGTGGTGTAATTTTGCCCCAAGACCAGCAGTACCCTGGTATTTCCCTTCCCCCTTCTCATTCTTTTTTTTTTTTTTCTCCTATAGCGATCAGTTAGATGGAGGTCCATTTTTATATCCTGGGAAGGGGCTTCAATTTGTTTTTAGTAAATATTTATACTATTATTGGCTCTGTTAAAATGCCATGAAAAGTATTTTGCCTTTAAGAGACACATGTGCTTACTACAGAGCATTACCTCTGTTTCCAAATGTTACTGTTTTACCTGAGTCTTTCTTTTGCAGGCTGTCTGATATTCTCCTTATTCTGCTAGCTGTGATAAAGTAAATATGAAATAGTTTTTGTCATTCAAAGGGGGTCTTTTACAAAGAAACAAACCTTGGTGAGGTGCCTTAGATGGAAGTTGCCATTCTAAGACTCCCAGATCATAGTTTAGTGGCAATGAAAGTAAACCTTTTCTATTTCACTGTGATTGATGTAAGTGCCCTACAATTAGTATGCAGGCCAGGAACCATACTAACAGCTGAGGTTTTTCATAAAAAAGTATTCTGCCTCATGTCACATTCCCCTTAGCCTGGGTTCACACTGAATACGACTTTGAAATTATGCAACGTCACTTGAAGTCGCACAGTAACAAAGTCGGATGTCAGTGCAACTTCAGGTGTGATTTGTAAGACATCTGTGCAATTTCATGCACAGATGTCTATGCAAGTCGCACCCAAAATTGGAAAATTTGTGCAGGAACTAATTAGAACTGTTTAATTGCCGATCGTTGGGTGTGACTTTTCATGCGATTTGCACTGTCAAATTGCATGACGAATCACATCAGTGTGAACAGGGGCTTTAAGTAGTCATTGTGATGACAGAAGTATGGAGATTGCTGCTGAGAGTTAAATTCACATTTCCTTTGTCACTGCAAGACCTGCAACCAAATGTCCAGCGTTGGCCTCCTGGCACCAAAAATTGTACTAAGGACAAATAGAAATGATTTGAAAAGGGAGGAGTAACCCACAGAAATTAACCACAATCCATTCACTGGAGTCAGATCAATAAAACAAACATTCTGTAAATGAGTGTCAGTGCTACTTCTCTCTTCTACTTGTTCCGTGTTAGCTACTTGGACAGCACTACAGTCAAAATATCAGAATGACATCCTGAGACCTAGAATTCTCACTGGAAAAGTTCAGTAATGTTAGCCTTAAAAAAGACACTGCCAAAGAAAATTAATAAAGTGGAACTTTAGTAAGAAAAGTAAGTCTTGATAGATCACTTCATGCTAGCTTTAGCAAGGATAGCTATGTAAAACATTAAAAATAAGTGCCTATACTGTTTAAAAATCCACAATGGTGGCCCCCAGCAAGAAGAAATAGGACCAAAGCTGAAGGTAGTTTACAGCGCACTAATTTTGGTTGCATAGTTATTAATGTGGAATGAATGTTCTTTTATTAACCACCTCGGTACCGCGGTACAGCCAAAAGACGACTTTATCCTTTGGACACAGCTGATCACAGATCTAGGTAAAGGGCCATCACAGTGTCCAATCTCAGCTACTCACATGTAAACAAATTTATCGGCATTTCCTTTCCTCTTGCACTGTCACTGTGTGAGGAAAGGCATGCCGATAACTGGCAATCCTGACAGGGCACAGTTACACTGATAATCAGGGCACTGATCATCAGTGCATCTCCATTAGTGGCAATCAATGCCCATGAGCTCTACCTACCAGTGCAGCCTCCTCAGTGTAGCTAATCAATGCCGCCCCACCAGTGCAGAAGAAAGACTACTTATTTGCTAAATTTTATAACAGAAACTAAGAATTTTTTTTTTTTTTTTTTTTTAACATTTGTGTCCTTTTTTTCAATTTATTTAGTGAGAATCGTAATTCTAGGGCCATAAATCATGGTTACCTCTAAACTGAAAACCTGTAAAGGTTTTTGAAAGGGTCGCCTATGGAAAATTTGGAGTACCATCCTTTTTTGCAATTTCACAGCATGCACAATTTTAAGGCTTGACATGTTTATCTATTTACTCAATGTAACCCTATCTTTAGTATTTTACAAATAAAAGGGTATTGCGAATTTGCACAAAAATGAAAATTTCCTGAAGATATTAATTTAATTGCTATGCAAATATTACGTAACAGAAATACTGTATGCGACTGCCACCATTTTATTCCACAGGGCCATTTCTTTTGATATAAGTTTCAGTATAGGTTTAAAATTACAGGTAGGGTGGTAATTTCTTAAAGTAGAACTGTATAAAACCGTTTCCCTGTGCGCAAACATACCTGCTCAGAAACTTCTTTAAATTGTACATTGAGCTGGCCATGTGCAGTTCTGTGCACAATCTTGGCATACCGTTGGTCCCAGGATCAATTAACTCCTGTGTGCATACGTGGGTATTTTTTCATGCTGGGCTAACTAATCAGGACCACAACCCCACAAGAACAACCAGGTGTAGCTGTCAGCAGCAATAGAGCTTGTGTGAAATGCATCGCTGGATCCGAGGTAGGTTTAGTTCCCAGCCAGTGGGATGTAAATGTTTAAATGTGATGTATACCTGTGAACACATATTTACGACTCTTCTATGTATCAACTTCCCCCGCTTGCAAATGAGAGAAATCTTGTTTGGTTTAGCAGCCATAGTTTTGCATGTTCAGTATGATTGTTTTGCATAGAATCACTTTTACCAGGGTGCTGATCTTGGCTTCATCTCCTCCACTATGTAGGTTGTTGGGTCCATGCCTTTAACTGGAAGTTCTGGATCTGTTCCTGAGAATCTCAACCTTTTCCCAGAGACAAGTGGGAAGCCAGCAGAAGGTACCAAAAAGCAGCTTTCCAAGGATTCTATCCTGTCCTTGTATGGCCCTCAGACTTCTCAAATTCCAGCTCAAGGTATGAACCAACAAAAAGAATGTATGGCAAATAACCCTTTATTGTATAAAGTGACTTGTTTTATCTACACATTTTAGTATTTTCAAATTGCCAGACTAAATAGCTAGTTATTTACTGTCATGAGTTTTACTTACCTTCTCTACTTTTGTTTCATCAGGAGGCCTCTTCATGGCACCAGCACAAATGGCATACCCGAATGCCTACACAGGATTTCCTGCTGTTCCTTCTCCTGGGGGTGTTATGGGTGGTATGATGGCCTCACCACTGGGTATCATGACTCAGCCAGCTCTCCCAGGCATGGTTGCTCCCATGGCTGTTCCAGCTGGATATGTCGGTGGAATGCAGGCAGCAGTCATGGGGGTTCCGAATGGAATGATGGCACAGCATGCAGGTTGTGTGACTGGCATCAGTGCTGTGGCGCAGCCAATGTATGGTATGCAACCAGGACAGCAACTCCAGTGGAATGTCGCTCAGGTAAACCTTGGCAAATGAGATTCATTTTACTGAGTAGAAAAATGTGTTGTTATTGTTGGAACACAAACCATAAGTGTTTTTTTTTTTTTTTTTTTTATTTCTTTATGGCAACATGTCAAAAGATTCGATCTCGGTACACTTTTGCTGCTTTCTGTCATCACAGTTGATTTAAGTGAGGCAAAACATTTCCAGTGGGACACAGACAGCAGTAGAAACCTGACGTTCCTGTGTCATCTTTGATCTGCTCACCGGTAGTCCCAAAATAGCTAATTAAAGGGTAGCATTATTATTTAAAAAAAGTGTGTGTGTGTGTCGGGTAAAAATAAGTATTGAACACGTCACAATTTTTCTAGATAAATGTATTTCTAAAGGTGCTATTGACGTGCAAATTTCACCACACATTGGTAACAACCCATGCAATCCATACATACAAAGAAACCAATACAAATAAGTTCAGAAATTAGGCCATGTGCAATAAAATGGAATGACACAGGAAAAAAGTACTGGACATGCTAACTGAAATTTATTTAATACTCCGTACAAAATCCTTTGTTGCTAATGACAGCTTCAAGATGCCTGTATGGAGAAACTAGTCACATGCATTACACAGGTGTGATTTTGACCCATTCTTACACACAGTCTTCAAATCTTGAAGTTTCCCTGGGCCTCTTCTATGAACTCTGATCTTTTAGGGGGTTTTTTTCATAGATTTTCTATTGGATTCAAGTCAGGTGATTGGCTGGGCCATTCTAGCAGCTTTATTTTCTTTCATTGAAACCAATTGAGAGTTTCCTTGGCTTTGTGTTTAGGATCATTGTCTTGCTGAAATGTCCACCCCTGTTTCATCTTCATCATCCTGGTAGATAGCAGCAAATTTTTATCAAGAATGTCTTTGAACATTTTGTTTCAGTCATCCTTCCTTCAATTACATTAAGTTTGCCAGTACTGAATGCTGAAAAACAGCCCCTCACCATGATGGTCTCACCTCCAAACTTCACTGTTGGTATGGTGTATTTGGGGTGATGTGCAGTGCCATTTGACCTCCAAACATGGTGTTTATTATGGCATCCAAAGAGTTCAATTTTGGTCTCATCTGACCAGAGTATATTCTCCCAGTATTTTACAGGCTTGTCTGAATGTTGTGCAGCAAACTTTGAAGCGTCAACATGCTTTTTTTCTTCAGCAATGGAGTCTTGCGTGGTGATCGTGCATACGGGCCATGGCGGTTGAGTGCAGTACTTATTGTTTTCTTTGAAACAATTGTATTCCAGGTCTTTCTGAAGCTCTCCACAAGTGGTCCTTGGCTCTTGGACAACTGTTCTGATAATTCTTTTCACGCCACTCTTTCAAGGAGCACCTGGTCGTGGCTAGAGTATGGTGAAATGATGTTGAGAAGGTCTTGAGAGAGATCTTTGTACCCATACTAGATGTTTCTTGTTTGACACCTTGGTAATGAGACACCTTTTTATAGGCCATCAGTTAAGACTTGAACCAGCTGATATTAATTTGCTCCGACAAGGGGCAAGATTTCTTTCTAATTACAGATAGATTTCAATGGTCTTGACTTTCCATACCTTTTTTGCACTCCCCTTTCTTCATGTGTTCAATACTTTTTTCCCTGTGTCATTCCATTTTATTACACATAACTTAAATTCTGAACTTGTTGGTTTTGGTTTCTTTAAATGGATTGCATGGGTTGTTACTGACATGTGGTGAGAGAGAGATTGATTCATCAAAATATTGACAATAAAAACACTGCTGTTTTTGATCTTCCTCCTCTTTAAGACCCATGAGTGCCTCTAAACCAGTTTTGGATTTTTATGAATTTCTATGTGGGTGAGCACCTGGGTATTTATCTCAAACATAGTGCCGTGGCTACCTTTTGGAACTGTTATATATATTGTGTATGTGTGTGTATATATGTATGTATGTATGTATGTGTGTATATATATATATATATATATATATATATATATATATATATATATATATATATATATATATACACATACACTATATTGCCAAAAGTATTGGGACGCCTGCCTTTACACGTACATGAACTTTAATGGCATCCCAGTCTTAGTCCGTAGGATTTCAATATTGAGTTGGACCACCCTTTGCTGCTATAACAGCTTCAACTCTTCTGGGAAGGCTGTTCACAAGGTTTAGGAGTGTGTCTATGGGAATGTTTGACCATTCTTCTAGAAGCGCATTTGTGAGGTCAGACACTGATGTCAGACGAGAAGGCCTGGCTTGCAGTCTCCTCTCTAATTTATCCCAAAGGTGTTCTATTAGGTTGAGGTCCAGACTCTGTGCAGGCCAGTCAAGTTCCTGCACCCCAAACTCACTCATCCATGTCTTTATGACCTTGCTTTTTGCACTGGTGCGCAGTCATGTTGGAACAGGAAGGGGCCATCCCCAAACTGTTCCCATAAAGTTGCGAGCATGAAATTGTCCAAAATGTCTTGGTATGCTGGCACCTTAAGAGTTCCCTTCACTGGAACTAAGAGGTCAAGCCCAACCCCTGAAAAGCAACCCACACACCATAATTCCCCCTCCACTAAACTTTACACTCGGCACAATGCAGTCAGGCAAGTACCACTCTCATGGCAACCCCCAAACACAGACACGTCCATCAGATTTCTAAAGAGAGAAGCATGATTTGTCACTCCAGAGAACACGTCTCCACTGCTTTAGAGTCCAGTGGCGGCGTCCTGTACACCCCTGCATCCAACGGTTTGCATTGCACTTGGTGATGTAAGGGTTGGATGCAGCTGCTTTGCCATGGAAACCCATTTCATGAAGCTCTTTGCGCACTGTTGTTGTACTAATCTAAAGGCCACATGGAGTTTGGAGGTCTTTAGCTATTGACTCTGCAGACTGTTGACGACTTCTACGCACTGTGCACTTCAGCATGTGCTGACCACACTGTCAATTTATGTGGCCTACCTCTTCGTGGTTGAGTTGCTGCTGTTCCCAGTTGCTTCCACTTTGTTATAATACAACTAACAGTTGACTTTGGAGTATTTTAGTAGCAAGGAAATTTTATGGATGGACTTATTGCACAGGTGGCAACCTATCACGGTACTTTGCTTGAATTCACTGAGCTCCTGAGTGACCCATTCTTTCACAAATGTTTGTAGAAGCAGTCTGCATGCCTAGGTGCTTCATTTTATAACCTGTGGCCATGGAGTGCAGGTGATTGGAACAACTAAATCCAATGTTTTGAAGGTGTCTCCCAATACGTATTGAGTGTGTTTTATATTTTAGAATTAAAAAAAATAAAAATAATTTATATCTTGTGATAGGTACTACAAAGTTAACATCGCATAACAATTTGCAGGTCAACAAATTTTTTTTTTTTTTTCCTATTAGCTGAATTTGTAAATAATTGGAGTACATGGACTGTTTTTGTAAATAAATGTTTAATTGAAGTGTTTTTTGATTGCACTTAATGTAAATCTGTTTTTCATTGTTTTAAGGTGTCTCAACAGATGGCAGGAATGACATTTTTTTGGTGTAGGAGGCATGGCAGGATACGGACAGCCTACAGCTAACCAGGGACCCAACCAGACCCTCAGCTCACCAATGTGGAAATAAAACTGAGGCAGAATCATACCCCTATGGACTTCTACATTTTTCATGCAGTCCTGAAGATTCCTCTACTCATTCACCTTAGTCCTTCTAAAGCTTTCACCTTTTATTTTCTTGTTCACACAGTCTAACAGGGATACCCTTGCCAGTATACTGCAGTATAGTGCAATGTCGAGCGTTAATAAATATGGGCCACTTACATTCCCAGAAGCTGAGCCACATAATTTTCAAGGGCACCAGAACATTCACACTGAGGACTGAATGTGTTCAAATGTCAGTAAGCTTGCAGGTGTTTTCCAGCATACATCAGGCATGTGTGCTGCTGCCAGCTGAATCCAAATATCTACAGTTCTGCACCAGCAAGCCCTGTGGCTCTACAGGATCTCTTCTTTCTGTGTACCATAACTGGAATTTTGACATGACTGTTCCCTAAATCCCCTGGAGTAAAGGCTATAATTAATACCATGGCTCAGTGGTGTGGAAGTGCAGAATTCTGGCAAGACATTGACAAACAAAAGGAATGCTTGCTTTATTTTTAAGTTGTTTCACAACTGTACTTAGAGTTAATCCATAAAGGTAGAGTAAACGGAAAGTGGCATGTTATAGTTCAATGCCCCTTTTGTAGTAATACTTTTTTCATGTTCTTAAGTTCAGTATGTTTAAAAGGATGAGTAATATAATCTGAAACCATGGCTCCTATACCAGCCTACTTTCTATTTGCTTTTATGGAATACTCCAACAGTGGTATTCTGTAAAAGTTAGCAAACGGAAACTGCAATATGGCATTGACATCGGCAAACCTGCCTGGATGAAACTGGCAGCTGGAAGCTGATTGGTCATTCATGTTTCCCTTTTCTTTATTTCTATAGAATATCCCCCCCCCAAGTGTCTTACTCTCCCTAAAATAGAATAAATATTCTGCTGCTGAGTGCAATTGAAGGTGACCTGTGTGTTTCTGTGTTAGTGAGAAGAAATTATTTCCCTCTCCGTTTTTTGTAAGTGCAATGTACCTTAAAGAGAGATTTAACTTATTGCAGGGAAAGAAGGTTTAGAGTTAAGGCTCCGTACCAGAAAAAAAATATATATTTAGCTTGTATCTGTAGACAAACTGCTATGCTTTCATTGGTGCGTTGCCCATATATATTTCAGTTTATACAGGAAATTGCCATGCAAATAGAATTTGGCAAGTATCACGTGCCCTGTGTTTTTAAAATATCTAAAGTTACTAGTTATTTTATATGTTGTATATAAACTGTTACTTATTTAATGGAATTTTGGTGCTGTTCTCTAAGTAGCATTGGAGTGTGGCCCCAAACAAGATTGCTCATATAGCCTTAGTAAAACATCTTTCATGTCATCTCTTTAGTAAAGGGTCAAACAAATGCTTTTGGGGAGGACAATTAGACAAGACAGATATAATTATGGCTGATTTATTCAGTTGGTTCAGGCAGGGAAGGCTAATGAAGGAAATCCGTGTTTTGCTTGTCCTCGTCACTCCCCTAAAATCTTGGGAATTGTCCATTAGAAAATTTTGTCTTTGATAAGTCATTTTAGGATATTTTTAATGCTTCTGGATACTTTTTGCATCTGGCTGGTTTTCATTTGGAACCACTAAGATGATAGTATCTATTATATTTTACATTTTTCTGTAGCCAGGTTTCCTAGTGAAACACTGACCTAGAATATGCATGCAACCTGTGCATTCTCAAAAGTGTTGTCTGTCACCTCTATCCCTGTCCAAGACTCATTAGGTAGTGAAGCCAGGTTCACCTAGAGCATAAAAATTTCAAAAACAAAGTCAGCAACGTCCACTCTCACCTATCTATTCTCACAGCTTCACTTTTTAAAGTGAACCCGTTGAGGCTTAAAACATTTCTATAGCTGCAAAGCAAACTGTGTTGTCAGTTGGTACCCGTGTTAATCTTTTAATCTATCTCTGTTCTTGTGGGCCCCCTTGTATGCCAGGTGCAGGATTTACACAGGACTCTTTTACTGCTGCCCAAGTTGAGATTTAATTCTAGCCATCATTCAGATGTCAAAATGTAGGGAAATTTGAGTTAAATACACCAGGACGTGAGAGGCTTAAAGCAGTTGTAAGCTTTTTGGGCTTTTTTGGGGGGGTTCCTCCCCCCCCCCCCCCAAAAAAAAATGTTATACTTACCAGCTATGTGCAATGGTATTGAACAGAGCAGCCCTGAACCTTCTCTTCTGGGTCCCTCATCTGTGCACTAGGCTGCTCCTCTTCTGTGCCTGCCTCCATAGGAAGCTGCTTCCTATGGTGGCACACAGGAGAGGATACCTGCAGAAGGAGCACAACACTACTGGATTTGATACAGGACTCGATTAAGTATTTAGGGAGGAGGGGAGAGAAACGGGCAGTGAAAAGGTAATTTTTTTTTTTTTTCTAACAATGCATAGAATGACTTAAGAACCATTTTAATATGTACTAGACAAAAGTTAAACTAGCATGTACAGCCTGTGCCTAGGATCTGAGGAGCTCCACGGAGATGCAGAGATTGATTTGAAGACTAACAGGTACTTGTGGGCACTACAGGATCCCTACCCTTTGGTTATTTAGTTATTACCTTTTAGAGACTTTTTAGACCAGATCATGTTCACTTTTAAAGCTACAATCTGTTTAGCATTCAGTAGAACCATGTCTCCCATCTTTGTGCAGAAGTAATTGGATGTTTAATGCAGTGTGTTGGTAAGTTGAGGAATGTTCCTTCTGTCCTCTGTCAACCCTTAGGACAATAAGCACATGAAGCTGTCTGACTTGAGAAAAACTGCTCATAAGGGATATTTGCTTATGCTATTTGATAGCGTAAGGTGTATTCAGGAAAAAACAGGTTTGATTGTCAACATACTTTTAATGCAGAAAACTTTCAACATGTGTTTAATTTTCAGTTGTGAATTCCATGTTCCAGGGGATGTTGTCCCTTTTTAAAGATTGTACAACCAAGCTTGGTTTTGGTAATGTATAGAAGTCTTTGTTTTCAGTTAGGTTACATGTGTTTTTTTGTTTGTTTTTTTTTAATAACTTTTTTGCTAATAAAATAACTGAAGGTAATACTTGCTTAATAGTTAGATTTAGGAGTCAGTTTCATTTTCAGACAATTATCAAGTAGTACTTAGTACATATGTTCTTTGCTCTGCTCTTTGGCACTCATTTACCTTTCTGTCTTTGAGGAGAACTGCATGTTTTTCTCACATCAGCAAACAATCAGAATTATTCTCTCATACTGCACTGAACGAAGAATGTAAGTGGTTACACTTGCGACACTTCTTGAACTTAATCAGTGACAACCTTTCTGAAAAGTTGTATGTCCATGCCTTCTCCTTATATTTTTGTGAATTTAGTGATAGATTCTATTCTTTCTCAGCAAGTACAATTTTAATCACTTTTTGTATTTGGTGGCACTGTGAACATCCCCACAACTCTCGTAAAGCACCATCTTCAAGGCATTCTGCCATAAGCAAAATAGTACCATTCACTAATTTGACAAGTGAACTGTTGAACAACAAAATCTGTAATATAAACTAATGCACTTCAACAGAAAATTCTGCTTGTAAGCAATCGTGCTGAGTGATAATGTACACCAATTTGGCACACAGCATGGTTAAGAATTCCAGCCCTATGCTATTTCAATTCAGCTTTCTACAGGTTTATAGAAGTCAAACTCTGTAAAGAACTGTGGGCAGACTATGGACATTTGAGCGTTTTACATATCCCTAACAAGCACTAAAACTTTAAAATCATTCACTGACCTCTAGTAGCCTCTGTGGATTAATAATGGATTTGTTACAGGTGAAAAACTACAAAGATTATGCTACTACTGTGGTGTTCCTAGTCCTTTTGAGGCTGCTAGAACTGTGAACCACATACCCCACTATCTACGTGGATAACTGTTATTTTATTTTTTTGATAAATAAAGGGCTGCGCTTCCGCTATATACATACTGTGCTCTTATTGTCAAAGTAAAATGTGAAAAAACTTATGTGATAGATGAATTCATTTTATGGTTTTTCACTGGATACTTATCACATTACATGAGTGGATCAAAGTCCATCCAACGTGTCCTTTATACGTAAATAAATTTATATAACCACAAATGTCTTTTAAAAATCCAGTGCTTCTTTATCCAGATCTCAATATATGGTCCAGCAAAACCGTGCATAGTGGACTACAAAACACCACCTTTGCAAAACACAAATCTCATGCTCTCTTGGTGCTCACACTCCAAATTGTGCACTCACCAGACCTCCATGACCCTCTTAACTTAATAAGTGGGTCCACAGTAGCTTAGACTTACATTGTCCTTCCAGGCAGCCTTCCAAGTCACCTCCTTTCATATTTTGATCTTTACACCTTTTAATCCTCCAAATGCATTTTGGCCAACGTGAATAAACAAAATAAAAATCCATAGTGCGGTAATTTTTATCAGTAAATAGGAAAAGCATTTTCAAGTGCTCACTCACATTAAAAATACAAATGCAAGCATTCAATATGGTTACTATACCACATGGAGCCACGATGGGCCACTGCTGATCCAACTTCCTGTTTGCTTCCTCAACTTTCACTTATTAGCTTAGATCCCCCACCAGCCTTTCTGTTTCTAATGTAAAAACAGATCAGGTGTGTATGTGGAGAGTGCTGGGGCGTCACTTGTTCTGTTAAATTTTGAAGCTGAATTTCTCCACAGTGCCTTTAAGTACATAGGTCAGTGAGGGCTGAACTTCAGCAATTCAGCCACTTGGTAAAATATGTTGGCTTACTATGAGTTAAAGTGAAACAAAATCTATTGAATGTACACTGAGCAGTGCTTGTGCACCTCAGCCTACATTCTTGGTACATTCTGGCTGTGCCGTAATGACTGACTCCTGTGTACATGTGTAGGATTACATCATTCCCCAACAGCCAATAAAGAGGCTGAAAATCCAGCACTTGTGAGTAGTCCAGGGAGAAGATGACAGCAGCCGGTGAGAGATGTAACCACTGCATAGCT